TCTCATGGTGCCTGTTGCAGGATGGAGCAGAAATCTCCCAATATGGATCTCTTGATGCTGGCTATCGAATGCTGCTTTCCTCGATTCTCTACGATGCTTCCTTCAAAAGGTGATTTTTGCAGGATTTCTTTGATGCTTTTTGTATTTTTCACATTTCTCATGGTTGCTGTTGCAGGATACGCGGAAAATCATATGGAGTTTACTTTATATGTTGGCGAGCATGTTAGGTTATAGAGAGTGCTCCGACGAGATCTGTTGGAAGTATGATTTGTCTTATTATTGTGTGATTTGGAGTAGGTTTTTTTGCTGCTTACATTTGGTTAGAGTGATTCCTATGGAAATGTAGTAGAATTGATGTCTGTAGTGTGCGCACTATTGATGAGAGGGGTTTAGGAATGTATTTTTTTTTCTTCAGAATTACGGCCGTATACGGTCGGCCACGATGTTGGTACGGTCGTTTACGTTGCAGTGTTTGGTCGTTTCCTGTTCATGATACGGACGTATACGGTCGGACACAGGTTCGAAACGGTTGGTGTGTACTACCGTATACGACACGGCGATATACGGCCGTAATACGGCGCATACCACAACGTTAAAATACGGCCCGTATAAGGTCGTAAATTCGGCGTATACGGCCGTATCTTGTCGTCGTAATGCTCGACCTGGGTAAACAATCATCAAACAAAACACATACTTTAATATTCACCGAAAAAATAACAATTTTGTATTTAATCAGTCAAGAACGCCTTCATCTTTGCATTCTCCTCAAGAGGGGAACAGCAGAATCTAGTCCATTGGATGCAAGTGGATTCATGGATTCTGCTGTTTCCCCCTTGATTCTCCTTCATAATGCATGGTTTTATGGATCTTTATTAATAAAAAAATTCAGAAGTACGAAATTTCCATAGCATGAAAAGCAAAATGTAAATTTTCCTCAACAGATTTAAGCTTAACACTTTGTTTTTATGAGCAGAGTATAAAACAGAGTGTCATATCGATATCACAAGGATCATGGATATTTGCCACCATTGTGAATCCTTGCTAGCCATGCACCAGTCCCATTCCGCCTGGGTATCCAGTTCGACTGGGTTTACAATATCACTGAATATTCAGTAAATTGATCTAGCTTTGATCCTGTAACCATTAATTTTGCTGGACTATACCAAAATTGCTTGAATGAAATAATTCTACTGGAAGATACAGAGAAGTTAGAAGGGCGAGTGGCGTTATGCTGACTTGTTGTGCAACAGTATTTTTACGAAAAAACTATATGGTGCTGACTTTTTCGACATGAGCTACCTATCTGATAACTTTATTTTGCAAGAAACTACTTTCAAATTTTTAACACCTATACCTCCCCACAGGGATTTGAAAAAAATCGAAAAGTTTTACATATAATTCCGAATAACATTTCTGATAATGTCAGCATCATATAGTTTTTCGTAAAAATACTGTTGTAAGATAAGTCAGTTTAACACCACTCGCCTTTTCGACTTCTCTGTATCTTCCATTCGAATTCTTTTATTCAAGTAATTTTGGTATAGTCAAGCAAAATTAATGACTTTAGGATCAAAGTTGGATCTATTTGCCGGATATTCAGTGATATTTTAAACCCTGTCGGACTGTACTGGTGCATGTCTAATATTTGCTGTTAGAAATACTGGATGTATATGACAAGGGTATTGATTTACTCTCTTATTCAATTACAGTTAGATAGAAGTGACGCCTATAATAGTTATTTTATATAATCGAATCTAACTTAAGTGGCATCTTTTAAATTTCATCGAAGAAAAAATAGAATAGCTCGGACCGGACGGGTCCGCAAAAGTGTTGGCCCGCCTGGTGGTGTGGGTGTAGTTCTACTAGACGAGTTACGCCAAAACATCGCACACATACCCTTCTCTAATTAAGCAATCTCATCTAATTATACAACTTTTTTGAAAACTATAGCGTCTACGTAGGATATCTTAGGCGGAGATTATATCTCTGATAAAAAATCATAGCGTTTTTATGCACTCAAAATTGTATTAATGTTAATTTTTTAAATTATTTTCTTTGTTGAACACTAAATATTTACCTATCACACAATAGGAGAATATTAATAAAACATTTTCATTATTCAACACCGAATATTTATTATTTTAATTCAATACATCTTTGTTCATTTGCTTCAACATGATGTAATCCATTTAATAGGTATCAGAGCTGGGCAAGTCAAGTCAAAAATGCCCCAAGTCAAGTCAAGTCAAGTCAAGTCTGACTTGGCTTGGGTGAAAAAATTTTTGACCTGACTTGACTTGACTTGAAAATTATTTTTGTGACTTGACTTGACTTGTGACTTGGAAAATCTCTGACTTGCCCAGCTCTGATAGGTATTCTATAGTCATGTGTTAGCTGCTACATGAAGGTAAATAGGAAAATCGACTCTTACAACTACTGTGAAACAAAGCTCTGAAAACGTTTTTCCGATGCCAGATCACCAAACATTAAGTATTTCTATTAACAAATCTGATTGTTAGCAGACAAATAGGACAAAAAATTATGTGTCTTCTATTCCTACTGACAATTAGAGTTCAAATTTAAAGCCTTTTTATTATTTAATTATGCGCTCAGTTCCAACGATGCGTAGGTTAGGCAGGGTAAATACAATGGATGCAAATTTCAATTTGTTCTGCTAGTATAGATAGAAGTAAATGTATTTGGGTCTTATTTAAGAACCGTTTCAGTGGAAATTTCTAATAATTGGCAAAGCTTGAAATTTTACATTAATAAATAATAATTACAAAACTAAAATAGAAAAATTTTCTTGAGGATGATTCAACTAGTACTAAAGCATTAGAGAATGCAGATTACGAAAACGAAGCTATAATGAATAGTTTAAGGTGACTGAAGCCATTAGATATGATAAAATCTTTCAAAATTGAGTGAATGATTTTGCATGATGCGCTAAGAATTAATCATAAATCGACAAAGTTTGTAGTCTCTTTAGAAATTATACATCAATTTTTACCGTAAGACTTGTAAAATCTTATTGTCTTAAAAGATCCTATTTGATCGTTAAATATAATTATAGTACGTGACAAAAAAATCTATTTTCTCCAACGTTTTACTATTAAATAATTGAGTAATATTAACAAATATTTTGAATAAATTCATAAAAAAAAGTTTCAATTGGTTTATGAAAATTTTAGAAATGATTGTTTAAAAGACGACTTCTGATAATTAAGAAGCTCAAAGTCTATTTTTTAGTTCCCTATTAATCTATTTTCAAAAAAATTAAAATCGACGAATTGCTCGATAATACACTGACTAATAAATTTATTTTGTGACTCTTTAATATGATGGCGATTGTCTAATGTGATATTGTTTTATGTTAAGTTTTCCAAATATGCGTATTAGCTTTCGAAAAGTGGGTTAAAATGATAGTTTTATTTTATTCATTTATTTGACAGAGTGTAGAGAAATAAATAATGAGCTATTCTCTAGTAAGCCTTTTCTACTTTTTTCATGTCATCCATTTATTGTTCGTCTTTATTTAATCGAAGAAAATCTTCATCAACAAAATAGAAATGAATTAGTCAATCCCATTTGTCTACTACTGTCTTTTTCAAACGATACGAAGAAAAGAATGAAATGAAACATGATTGAGTATTCGATTTCAAATTAAAATTTATTCCTATTTACTGACAATGAAACTATTTCAGTATTTCATCAACATCTTTGGACTCCGAAGAGAGTCGAACTGATGCGAATTTTCTTTTAAATAAAATTATTCTTTGAGAATTTCAAACATTTAATCATTATATAGATCAATCTCGATTGTCTTGTTTGACATAATTCTATTTCACAGTTTGATTAAGTTCACATGTACAACTTTTTTTATTTTGTAGCCACTGTCAAAGTTTAAATTAAAATACGATACGATACGAGATATAAATCAACAACTTGAAAGGAAAATATTAGAAGAAGATCTTCTTATTTCTTAGACCATGAAGACAAGATTATTGTATTTCTCAATCGTTTCAATTTTAGAACGAAATAAGTACACAAAGATTCTATTTTAACATTGTGTTTGATATGTTTGCAATGCAAACATAAAATAGAAGTGTAAAGAGGAAATCGAACACTTGAAATATTATCAATCGTTCGACACAACATACTTGACTTCGACAAAAATAAGAATTCACTCATCGACGTCAGAAAATATCTCCTGTTGAGAAAAATTCAATAATATGATATCTGAATACCTTCAGAACATCTATAATGTTTCATTTTTATTCTTTCTCTCTCTATTGGACTAATACCGTCATTTGAATATATATGTAAACAATAATTATTAATGCATTTAACAAATGGTCGAATTGTATATCTACACATAACTGAAGCAAGATGATAGATTCTCTTTAGTTTATTGACTTAATTTTGTTGCCAAAATTTGGAAATAAGTTTATAATTTTTCAATATTAAGCGAAGAGTTAATTTAAAATATAAATAACACAGATGGAATGCATTCGTAGTGTAAAAATTCTTAAATAATAAACGCCTAAATACGCAAACTTACTATTAGAAAAAGAAAATATGTTTTTGAGTGTTTTTCATCATAACATAATCAGTTATTATTATTTTACAACAGATTGATGATAGTAAAACAAGAATTGAAAAGAGATCGAATGAGAGTATCAGTTTTTAGTAAAGTTGAATATGTCTTTGTGTATTTATCAGTTTGTTCCTACTGCAATGACGACAAAGCAGCTATCTTTGAGATTAAATAGATCATTGATCGCAGAATATTTCGTTTCATGTAGTGTAATATGAAGACATGTTGTTCTTTTTTTCAATGGAAAGCAATTACTTTTTTCTTCATTCTCTTTTCTTCAATATTAACAAAACAACCAATGAATGCTTCAATCCAATTGAACACTATTGGTTTATATCAATAAACATTTTTTTTCTTCGTCTCTGTATAAAATAAATGATTTAGTAGCATGAAATAATTGAAAATGTCAATAAGTTCATCGAATGAAACTTCACTTCTTTATTCAAACATGTTCAATAATAGTATTTTATCATCGTTTTTTATTCAATCCTTAATTACATCCAAACAAAATCCAATTCATCAAGGTTTTTTTTATTTTCAATGAGGAAAAAGCAAATCGTAACAATTTGACTTATTCAATTTCTATTTAGAATCTAGTTTGAGTGCCGATGAAGAAAGTGTAGGTCATAACAATAAACAAAGACGAACAAGAACTAATTTTACAAGTTCACAAATTGATGAACTTGAGAGAGCTTTTCAAGATGGTTGGTTTCTTAAACAATTTATTCAACTAAGGTTCTATAATTTTGTATTTAAAGGTCACTATCCAGATGTATATATGCGAGAAGCATTAGCTATTAAATTAGATTTAATTGAATCGCGTGTACAAGTTTGGTTTCAAAATCGACGAGCTAAAGTAATTAAATTTAAAAAATTTGACCAAAAACTTACATGAAAATTAATTTTAGTGGCGAAAAATGGAAAATACAAAAAAAAATCCTGGCCGTCCAGCACATAATGCGCATCCACGAACATGTTCAGGTTTTCCTATTTCACAAGAAGAATTAGAAAAAAAACGTTTACAAATTGAAGAAAGAAAACGACAAAAACATATGAAAAATTTTAAGTCATTAAGAAGTGACGGAAATTCTTCGTCATCATCAATGTCTCCTGAAATAATAAATAAATCGTCGTATTCAATTGAACGAATTCTATATCAATTACCAAAATGATAACAAATCTTCATAGTTGTTTAAATATTCTGTATTTTTTACCCCGGTTTTACATCGAAGAAAACAGACTACATAAAAGAAGTATAAGTGCAGATAAACGAATTTAATCATGAATGTTGAAAAGCCTTTAGGTGTTTTGCTTTGCATTTTGATGTTACATCAATTGATATAATCATCACTTACTCATTTGAGAAGATTGATTACCCTTCTTAATGTTTTTGACTTTAAAATCGTTTATATATCATTTGAGTTTCGTTTTGTTAATATTCCTGTTTTCGTTTTAAAATTAATTTCATTTCTTGTCTATGAACATCTCAGTGTCACCAAATAAATTTGTTTCTCTCACGAAATTTTCATTTTGTTTAACATTAGTTCAATTAAAATTATGTTTTCTTTGAAAATCAGTCTATGATATTACTGAGATTTGGTATTAGCATAGCTTAGTTGAATGACTTGGCTATCAATCAACAATAGTTTCGATGATCAAAGGACTTGTTTAGTAGAAGGGATCAGTCACATATCAATATCATTCGTAGAAAAAAAAAGAAGAAAAAATAATCCTGTCAATTATCAATACAGAAGTATTTCTTGCTTACTTGATTCGATACTCAATTAAACAAATGAATATTCGTTACATAAAAAATATAAATCATTCATAAAATTTTAAGAATTGTTCATTTATGTTTGTCAATGAGGCATAGCTTTAGGATAAATAGTGTTTCATCTTTTGATAGTCTATGCATTTAACTTTTCTCTTTCTTTCGTAGTTGCTCATAATCGAATGAAACGTACGACTAGATACCAAAAGCGTTAAATGCATCATTATAATGACATATCAATGAAACTCAACGCCCACACAAACAAACATACTCAATAACTATAAAACAGATGATGATCTATTTCAAAGATACTGTTTCTTTCATTCATAATTGCCTCGAAGCAACGACAGGAAAAAAAGAAAATTTTACGGAACAATCGAATATAAGTCTCTAAGTAAGACAATTAATTTCATTTTTCATAACAGTAGAAATTTGATTCATTCGGTTAACCAAACATTAATTGTCTTTTTCGCTAAATCAATATTGAATGAGAATCGTAACAATATATCGCATTTATCAGCAATTACACTTATCCGTAGTTTTTCTTAACTTTCGTTGTCTTTTTGTATAATAAGTTTTGAACTGAATAAAACGATGTTGATTGTCACAAGGGAATAATTAGCGATATTGACAATAATCAAATAAAAATGAATGAATGACAGGTCAAACATAAATTATTGTGTTTGTTTCGACTATTGTTTTACACAAATGTCAATATCAAATTAATTGTTAATAAATATCAAATTTACAACGAAAACTATCAATGATTAGTAAGAAGTAATTATCTTTTCAGAAAATATGGACTATTTGTTTATAGTGGTGTAAACGTATATTATTGACATAAAAATTAAGAATATCATGAAATTATATGATATCAGTCTTCTGATGAGTCATTGTTTGTTTGACATATCACCATCGTATAATTTTTATCACACAACAATGTTCATTCGCTTTTAAAAAAAATGTCACTAGCTATTTATGTTTTTCAGTTTAAATGTTTTGTCTCATTCTGTAGTAAGCGCAGTTTTCACATTAAAATTCCTGAGCAATCTTTACAGACACATATTAATCAGATAGCTATGAATAAATTGATTTGCTCAACCTAATAATGGAGCTCGCACCGCTTGGTTTATTTTCTCTTTGAATGAAAGTAATCTTAAACAAGATTTTCTTTATACATCAAATATAGTTTTATTGACATTAAATAGTGTATCTTTGTAACGAAATATGTTTTCAAATAGTGTCAATAGGGATAGAAAAAGCTTTCCTATTTATATATAAATTCGATTTCTAATTCGGATGATCTACTGGAATAACTGCCTAATTCGTATTGCAATAAAAATGAAAATACATGGAAAATTTCATCGTTAACTTAGTAATCTCGCTATTGATAATTTGAATTTGATCTGAATTATAACTAGGGTCCTATAGTGAAGTTCCACTATTTTCTCCAGTCCTTTCTTCGCACCAACACTCTCACGCAGGGCTGCCACCTCTTCTGCTTTTTGAAGTTCTTTCTGCCTTTTTTCTGTCGTGTCTGCTTTTTGAAAAATTTTCTGCTTTTCTTAATACTATGTTTTTATCTTTTTAACCAACCGTTTTATCTCAAAGATTTTTTCATAATTAGAAAAAAAATCCTTATCAATAGTTAACTGATGTTGTTGTTCCATGCAAATTCTGGGCTTGTTAGAAAGATGATCTTTATTTTCTACTGGCTACAAACAACCATCAGTGTATATATTTTTTAAGGCATTCTTTACCCCCTGCTTTTCTTTGTATTGCATTTTGCAATAATCATCTGGTTCATGCAAATCAATACATATATTCTTTGTGTGTTCGATTGATAAGCATAAATAGTTAGCATAATTCGAAAAAAACTACAGGAACAGAAAAAACGAAGTGAAGATGATAATAAGTCAACAGGAAACAAAATTTCAGCCCCGACCAGTTATGGGTGATTCTATTTTCTCTCACTAAGTCATCAAATTTTGAAAACTTAATATGCTTTTTATATTCTTTACCTTGTATCAATGCTTACGTTGAATCAGCATTCTCAAAATTGAAACATTTATTAAACGATAAGAAGAATTATTTTATTCTACTATGCTAGATATATTGAAAAAAGAATGGATTTCTGAATTTTATGAGGTATAAAAGGTAGTTTAAAGTTTTTCAAATGATCATCGTTACTGGATTAACAGTAAATTTTATATTTTAAAATTTTTCTTTTTAAATCTCTGTTTTGTTTCTAAACAATATATAAATAAATTGGTTCGTCAATTATGAAAAACAGTATAGATTGTTAGCTGCTTAAAGAATGCAATTTATTCCTATCAAACTCGGTTTAATATTTATGATTTTCTTCGTCTGTGTTATTTTAGACCTGAAAAGGTCCATTCATAGCTGGCTAAGATTTGATTTAATATTTTAATAGATAATTTTTGTGAATTCATAAGTAAGACATTAATAATCGGAAATTTGCCTGCACAACTTTAAAGAGTACAGAACTTTCCATCACTTTGACTACATGCCAATTCTAAATGACAGTTATTGTCTTGTATCTTTTTCTTCAAGAATATAACTCGACATGACGAAATATGCAAAACACAAAAGAAAAATATGAGAAACCGAAATATAAATGAATGTGCGTTTTTCCATAGCTAACAGAATTACGATAACTGTAGCGATCGCCATTCGAAGTAATTAGATGATTTTATTATGAGAAAAAAATCTATTTATTCGATTATCTCATTATATGTATATCGATATTGCATTGATACACGTATTGTACAATGCGTACATATTTATATATATTTGAATATATTTAATTTCAGTGAAGAATACATATTAATTATAGATACAGAAAAAAAGGTCATATCACAAAAACAAAGCAAAAGAATTTTGATCACAAAAGTTGTAAGGCATACAAAGAAGAAGATGAACATTTATCTTTTTCTGTAAATAAACAATTTAAATCAAAAAGAGAATTAAATGTATGACGACGTTTAATTAATTGATGATTAGAAGGAGAAATCGATTTGATTTCTTGATTGTGTTTTATTGAATCTTCTTGAATAATTAAAAGTTGTTGATCAACTTGATTTATTTGTTGTTTTAATGTTTTAAGAACATTTTCATGTTGAATTAATTTCGATTTCAATAATGAAGTTTGTTGTACAAAATCAACTTCATGAATTGGTGATTGATCAATAAAACAAATACTTGAATTACTTATTCTTTCATAAATATCATCATCTAAATTAAACAATTTTTATTTTTTTATAAAGAATTTTCTATTTTTTTGTTACTTTTATTTGTCGGCGAAATAAATGTTTCATTCGTTAGTTTTTTTCGTAATTTTTTCCTTCGAATATTTGTTAATGTTTTTGATTTATATTTTTCATTCGATAATGTAAAATAATGAAAAAAATGTGAAATATCTTTTAATGATTGCGATGGTTTTTTAATTGTTGTACTTATGGATGAACTTATATCTGACATGGAATAAACAGCTGAATCGGTTGATGATGATACTGCTTGATTTGGTTGTTTGTCATTCAGTGATGAATCAACAGAACGAGATCGACATGGTTTTTCTTCTTTTTTGTCTTGTCGACGATTTCTATTAGAAATATGATTGAAAAAACAGTTATGTATTTTAGAAAAAATAGTAGGAAAAAAAAGATAGATTCAATCATGCTATTTTCAATGGAAAAAAGGGGGAAATCAACCAAGCTCAGCTTACTACAATACTTTTTAATTTGGTCGAATAACACTGGAACGTTTTATTTTTTTATTTTATGTTAAAGTTTTGTTTCGTTATTTTTTTAGAAATAAAAATACCTTTTAACAGATATATTGATTGGTTTTGATGTTTGTTGTTCTGTTGTTGTACTTAGTGATGATAACGAATCGAGTAATAATGGTGATGACCATCGTCTTTTAGCTGCACGAACAATTTGTTGAATTATTTCAGAAGGTTTTGTTTCATCGTTTAAAGATATTTCAGGATCAAGACTACCCGTATTCAACACTGGTGGTAATTTTGGCATTTGAGGATTTATTTCAACTGGAATTTCATTGTATTCATTGTAATCAAAAAACCATTCATACTAAAATAGTTAAGAAAATAAAGTTCTATGTTTTTCAATTCGCGAATTCCATTGAAACGATTTCAATAGCATTTAAATTTAACTTTGCACGAATGAGACTATTTTTTTCACATCTATTCTGTTTCAGTAGAAAAATTATATTGTTGAGATGAAAAAGTTAATTTACATAAATATTTGATAAATCAAAATAAGAGCTGCTCACACTGATTAATTAAATAGTTACTATTCATTTATTAAGTTTACTCGTTACTTTTTATTTTAATTATTTAATTATTCGTAAGTTTAATATTTTGAATAAAATATTGTAATAGTCAAATTACAACTCTTTTCCGCGTTAAATATTTAATTATCTATTGATTAACAATAAAAATAATGTATGGTTCTTCGATTTTTCATGTTCTATCAATTTTCTTATTAGTTAGTTTGAAATTTTCGTTTAATTGAAAATTATGAAAAAGAAACAGATATCGTCAATGAACTGTTATCTCTCTTTGAAATGTATATCTTGAAATGTAACAGTAGAGTTAGGATCTTCTACTGCATAGAGAGTTTTACTTGTTTTCATACTAGAATTTCGGTAAGACACTTAATTTAGTAAATGAACACATCGATGAAAGATTTTTTGTTAGACGTAGAACTATAAAACAGATTATTTTACTGGAGTTTGAAGTAAATTGTGACAAAAACATTTTTCATCTCGAAAGCAAAATTTACACTGAAAAAAGTTCACATACATATAAAATGAATGATTCGATGATTCTAATTTTTTCTGGATTATCAACAAGATTTGATTGTAATGATGCTTTTGAATTCCAAATTAATGTTGGTCCAAAGATAATTGCTAAATTTCTTGCATCAATCTATTATAAGAACAAGCAATGATAAATAATTGTGTAAAAAATTGCAAACCTTATTAATATGACATTTGGAAGCAACTCTTCTAAAGTGAGCACATAAATATTTCAATGTTTCAAATCGATAATCATCTAATTGAACAGCTAGTCGTTTTAGTTCAAGTAAACGATCACAATGATTTTCAATTCGACTTGCTTCAACACATAGACTACTCATCTCTACAGAAGGAATAAAAGAAAGAATTCCAATAAAAAAATTTCTGTTTTCAAAATAAAAAAGCAAAACAAACTTGATGATAGAAGTGAATCAGGTAATTTAGCAAAAAACGTTTTCAATGTTGATGCAACAGCTTTAACATCATACCATTTTTCTGAATTAAATTCAACATTTTCGGCACCTTTATCTAACTCATGAACAAGCCAGTTGACAGCTGTTAAACCTCCAGCATGTCTATAAATTCCTTGACAACTAATTCCGCGAAGTTCAACAAGGCGTGTTAAAATTTCGACAACAATAGGAATATAACGTGATACTGATGATGATTCACATTCTTCTAATTCAATACTAAAGTTTATTCCATGTGAAAGTGTAGAAGCACCTGTTGTTGATGATAATGATTCTCCACTACTTTCGTCATAAATTTGTCCACTCATTTGATTTGTTAATAACGATGACGACGATTTTAATGTTCGAAGACCCTTTTTTACAATAGATTTAACAAACCAATGACGAGGAGAAGCATTCGATGGTGAAGTTAAATTGTTTAATGATGATATTGTTTGAGTTGGTTGAGGTATAGAAGATTTTTGAGATTTTCGAGAACGACGAAGGCTTGGCGAACGCTTTATTGACGGACTTCGAAGAGAACTCTTGGATTTTCGCCCATTCGATGGACTTGATTTGCTTTGTTCTTCAGTTTGACATCTTAAACTAAATTAAATTTTATCTTAACAGTTATTTTTCTATATTTCAAAAAGAAATTAAAAAGAAATTAAAAAATTATTAATCATGGATTCAATTGTTCACAAAAAATATGTCAAGAATAATTATGCATTTTTCGACTAACTTACTCTATTATACTATCTAGCATTTGTCTAAGCGTTTCTAATGAAAGACAATATATTTAAGCAGAAATCACTTTTTTTTCTATTCAACGTTGAATCAAATTCGGTGATAGATTATTTTATAGTCACATAAGATTCTTCATAGAACCACGGAAAAATTGTCTTTTTTAAATACTTATCAATACCAATTCAACTCTATAAACATCTGAGTTCTGTTCTCTCGCTTCTTTCGGTTCTTAAATATCTTTTGGGAGACTGATTTAGTTATTCAATAAAATCAAACGTTAAAAATTCAGTTCATTTATTCAACTAATTTTCAAAAGCAAATTTAGGTGATCTTTTGTTTTGTTTGTATGTATCAGGATGTGTTGGCATAATTCTATTCAATTTTCAAATTTCACATAAATCTGTGGCATACTGTTCTTACATAAAAATCTTCAAAATAATCTTAATTAGCAGTGGTGCAACATTGATCAAGATTGATATTTAAATAATTAAGCAAAGTCTCAAACTTTGGGGTGGGTGTGGGTGTGGGTGTGAGTGTGGGTGTGAGTGTGGAAGGATGTGAGTCCGTACTAATCAAACTCTCACCCTCACCCTCACCCTCACCCGCACTTATATTGTGCATTCAAACTGAATTTGTACAGCTACACCCACAGAGATGATGGACGTTCGTACAAACATTCCTGTCTAGACCTCAAGATAAATATTCATTTTTACCTATTTCAGAAAAATCGAAAATTATTTAAAAAATAAAAAAAATTTTAATTTCCCCTAGGGGAATTTTAAATTGCCCTGGATTTTAATTTCCCCTCCAACATATATATATATATTCTACTTACTCTTGTTCACTATTAGCATAATTTTTAGTAGGTGCAATGGGCGGTAATGAATTTGTACTGATTCTTTGAAATTTTCCTTTGTTATCAATAATTAATTGTTGATTATCTTGTTCTGATTGCGAAAAAATACAGTTTTCCTTGATAGCGTCTAACCACTCTGTTAAAGATTGTAAATCTGGTGCTTGAAATAAATATTCACTTTGATTTGATGTTATTAATTTGAAAACTCGTGGTTTTTTAATATAATCACTTGCTAATTCAACATCAGCATTTAGAAGACTAATTGGAAATGAATCACATGAAAGTGGAATTAATAGTCCATGTTTTTTTTCTTTGCCAAGAAATAAAGTTCCACGTCTAAGTACAGCCCAAGCTCCACGCCATGAACGATCAGCTGCACGATGACCTTCTTTCAATACAGTTTTACAATAGAGTATTCCTTCTTTTGATGCTTCTAAATTATCAGTCATTGTTGTTAATGATATTGATTCTCGTTGATTCGTTGTTGAATTATCAAAATAAGAAGCAGATTTTGATTGATTCATTGATGATAGTGGAGAAGATAATAATGAACGATGATCAAGTGCATGCGTTACTTCTGGAGTCTAAATTCATTGAGAATTTTTCAAAAAATTTATCAATTATGTTCCCTTACTGCTTCACCGAAAAAATTCTTCAGCTTTTTTATTGCTTGTATTTGATGATGAGATGTATTTCTAACATTAACAAAATTAATTTTATGTTTTTCTTTCAAATAAAAAATAAACTCTTTAACCTTGACTTTTGTTGTTGTTGTTGTTCATGATGCGTATCATAAGAATAATTTTCATTTTTATTCATTTTAATCACATCCGACGGAACAAAATCGTCTCGATTTGTTCGTATTCTTTGATCGGTTGCAATTAAATATGATGTTCGACGTTGTTTTAATTGTTGTTCTGATGTTTCTGGTGTTCTTCCATATTGAAATACTATTTTAAAAGTAAATATTTTACTATTAAACATGTACTACATTAAGAAAAATCAGTATGAAACCTTTGCGTCGAAGAATAGGTGTTTCGGGGCTGAAGGAAAAATCAAGCTGTCCCAAAGCATGCAAATTAACTAGAGAATTATCATTCCATAAATCAAATTATAGATATCATGAATTTTCATCTTACCAAAATCTCCGTGTTCATTTTGGTGAGCCGATCTGACAGCTGTTATGTAAGAATCTTGACGAATTAAATTAGAACCACCTGTACGTGATGAACATGTTGGTGAATAATTATTCGTTGAATATCGTTGACTACTCAACCGAAATGAATTAATATTAAAAGAAAAACAGGAATATTTTAAAATACAAACTTTTCATTTGTCGTTAATGGACCATATTGAGATGATGATGTAATTGGTGATGCTTCAGATTGGCTTCTTTGCATTGGTTCAACCATATATCGATGATCATAATTATATTCGATGGTGTTCGTTTCATCACCTAAAAGAATATTTTTTTGCCTTTCATTTGTTTTCAAAAAGTAACAACATTTATTGTTCATACATCGCAGCGCTTGTCAGGATTTCAACGAAAAAATATTTGCAAAGGACGTCCCCCTAGGAATTTATCAGAACACTGCGATATATGTATAGGATAGAAAACATGGAGCATTTATTTTACAATTGCTCTTCCAGGTATTATCATAGGTATCTCACATCTGATCAGTAGAAATAGAATATTTTTTGAGCTTGTCGAGGAAATAGAAATTCAGAAACTTCTTTACGATATTGTTTTTTAAATAATAGCTCATCAAAAACTTTTTGACACATTTGAGATAGTCACATTTAGATAACTAGAGCAAGCGTTGTCAAAGATTTGAAATTTCTCAATGCTTCCTTCAAGAAAATATCGAGGTTGTAAAGATTAAATCTGTCGTTCGCTTCTTTCTTGATTATTTTGCTTGTTTAGCTGCGAGACGTGTAATAGAATAGAATGTTTTCTTCTATCGAACTCATTCGGCATTATTTTAAATCATCTATATTTTTTCTTCTATTCGAGTAGAATGATCATAATCTAGAACATGAATACTCGAAACATGTGTGTATGTTTTCAACGAGATTTTTCTTGAAAATCAAGTTAAAACTAGTGATTGGCTACATATTAGGAAGTAAATATAAGTAGCTAAGCACCGAAAATAGTTTATAGTATAATTGAAGATGAAATAGTTACGACTAGATTGTATATGTTATAGTCGACAAACGAAGTCTATTCATGTTCAATATTTTTGTCAAAACATTCATCTTTCAAGATGAACGAAACAATTTATAAGTTTTTATGCTTTGCAAAGAAAGCGCTCTGCAATATATGTACGTGTAGAATAGAAAAAACTCGTGAGACTGAAAATTTGTAGATGGATAAATGGAAGTTTTAGAAGTCTTCTGTAAGATTTGGTAATTTATAATCAATTTCTCTAAATTTGTTTCCTTGAGATAAAAGGAAAAAAAGTAACTTTTTCATAATATCTGTATTGTGTTTTGATCATGAATATTCTATTTCAGTTGATTTAATAGTCGACTAGATCTAGTGAGTCCTGTAAACAAACTCGTAAAAATGACTTATTGTTTTTTCCCCGCCATGTCAATAAATCGTGATTGAGACTCGAAACTATCGTCTAATAGATTTTTTTTAAGATTTCAAAGTTCATGAAATGAGAACTACGTAATTTGAAAAGATTCAAAATTTAGAATTAGAGTTTAATACCTCTTGGAAATGAAAAACAAGAAGTGGGATCTAACGAAGTTGATATTGGCTTGATCAAGTTAAACTGTGACTGTGGTTGTGGTTGTGCATCATAGAAAATAATTTGATTCGGATTAATATCATGTAAATAATCATCTTGAAATGTCAAAGTATCTTGTGATAATAGTGAATTTGGAAGTTTCGATTTCAATCGACCAAATTTATCCGGATCAATATCTTCGAAATGTGCTGCACGCTTCATAACAGAGTCAACATCAGCAACAGCTGTTAAACGATTCCATTCATTTTCATATTTTTTCTTCTCTGAATATTTTTTTGTTTTTGATTCACGTTGTGTGTCATGAATTAAATTTTCAACATGTCCTGTTTCAAATTGCTTTTTACGAAAATTAACAAATTCTGTTTTCGTATCATTTTCATTAATTGAAGATTTATCATTCGTTAATGAAACAGTTGATGAAGATTTGAATTCTTGTTGAGATGATGTTGGACTTAGCCATTGAGTTTGATCATGTGATGGAATATTGAGTGATGAGTTAACCAAAGGTATATATGATGGATCGATTTGTTTTTGTTGTTGAAATGATGTTTGTTTTTTATAATCATAAGGAATATATTCATCATGATAAGGAGATTGATAATACGATGTTGAATCTTCTTTTGATGGCTCTTTAGAAAGATCTAATGCTTTATGAACTGAATCAATATAGTTTGAAAAAGTATTTTGTGATGATGAAGAATCTGGTGGAGGAAAGTAAATTCCAGCTTGTGCAAGTTCTTCTTGTGTTCGACCTTGCGCCAATTTTATTTGTAAATTGCGCAATTTTTGTTCAATTGTACTTTTTGACATGTTTCTTGTTGAAGAACAATATGATGAAGAACGATTTAATGATAAACGAGGTTCGTAGACATTCTTTAAATAATATTTACAAAAATATGAAAATAATAACAACAAACAGAAGCAAAAAGTCTTAAAAAAAGAATAGAGATACTTACTACAGGAAAAGTGTCATCTGGTTTTGGTACAACATTAAGTATAAGATCATTAGGACTAGAAAAGAAAAGAATGCTTAACCTTTTCCCTCTATTCTCTGTTCTTTTTTGTTGAGATACGAACGTATTCTGAATTATAGCAATCACTTGTGAATAAGTTTTTCCATGAATAGATTGATCATTGACAGATAATATTCGATCACCCGACCTTAAGCCAGCATTATAAGCTGGGCTATCAGAACGTACTTCTTTAACGAAAATCGTATCGATCGATCGAATATTTTCATTATTACTGTTTGCGATAGTTGTTCCCTTGTCTTCGACGTTGTCTAAAATAAAAGACCAGATACTACTGTTATGTTTGTTTTTTCTGTCTTTCTTTCTTTCTTTCTTTCTTTCTCATACAACATGTAACATGTCTCATCAATCAATTATGGAATCGACTAGGAAAAAATGCTTATGATTATTTTTTGTTTCTTTCTGCTTACCGCTGCCGATAGTTTTCATGGAATTTGGCGACACTATTTCTTGTTGTTTTTGTTGTTGTTGTTCTCCTTGATAAGATATGCGAGCGCCTGATGACGACGATGAAGCAGTGGATGGTATAATTGCTGATTTTGTTTCTCTTCTTTCTTCTAATTGTTTTTGTTGATGTTCATCTATGATAACACTATACGAGGCCTATGAATGTTAAAGGATAAATCAAAAATAAAGTTTTAACAGTTCATTAAATAAACCAAACTATTGTTATTGTTTACTATTAAAAAGCCCATTAAATTATATTCTTAATTAGCTATGTTAAAATTTACAAAATGAAGCAGAATGAGAAGAAGAACTTGCAATAGAAAAGATTGAAAACAGAATTACTCGAGTTTTGGAATTTTTACATCTAAATATATTTTTCATCAATAGAAAATTAGATTAATGCTGATCCTTTTTATTAGTTGAAACATAATTTACCTGGAGAATGTCATTAACAGAAACTGATGATGGATATATAACAAAATGACGAAGTGTAAAACCAAAACCACCGCCACCTGAATAATCATTTGATCGAGAAATCAATATTCTTTTAAATTCTTTCATTTTTTTAATTGAAATTTTCTCTAAAAATAGATTAAATGAAACAAGAAGAAGTAAATTCGCCTATTTACTTAGAGCAACGAATATTATGGAAACGCATGGTTCGTCTTGTTAAGACGTATGTTTTCTAAAAAGAAAAAATAAAGCATTGTTTTTGTCTCATAACAGTTCTATCGACAGGAGTAATAAGGGAAAAGGAAAGTATCAAACCAGAGAAACAAAAGACAACGATATTATAAACGCTAATTGTCCTAGTCTATCGGTTATGAGACATCATCTTGATTCATCGAACATCACATCGCTGTAAATATAAAGCTCGATGGGTTCTTTCGTTCTACTGTATGAACACAAATGCACCTGCACACAAGAAAAAAGGAAAGAAAGGAAAATGACTATTCATATTGCGTAGAAATCAATCTGACTTTACCTTCATCCGTGATTTATACTGATCTCATTCAGTCATTTATTTTGAATCATATAACTTGTTAAAGTATAAATATAGTACAAAAAGATGATATGCACAGTAGAGAGGCAAACACTTGTCTGATATCGTTGTAATGAAAAATAAATAAAGCAGAAAGAATATACGACCTCATTAAAGAAGATAGACGAGTGTAGTGTGAGCATCAGTCCGGAAGTGCATTCTAGATTGTGATTATCAATAATATGTAGACACGATAAGACAGATGGTCTTATCATTTCATTCGCCTTCAATATATTGCTACTGATCACACACTGAGCTATTGAATTTACGCGTGGATCATCACTCTGATGATGTAATATCAACAAGACATATAAAGATAATCAAGTTCGTCACTACTCAATCCAAAGATAAATAACATTTCTCATCATATTACAGAACCAAAGAAAAATATATTCAACTTTGTTTTTTTTTCAAATCATAATTATTGATGGTCACTCTCAGAACTCTTCATCTTGAACACGTAATATGAATTCAAATCATTTTCTAAGATTTCGCTTTTTTAACAATTCGTTAATCACCTAACTAAATATAATTCCATTCAAATATACACTTTTTATTTCACTAGTTACGATTGATCGAATTAGCGGTTATTGTGAGAGAGAGAGAGAGAGTACACATCTAACTTTAGTTAATTTGTTCATACTACACAAGAAAGTCAATGGTAGGTAATGAAGATGAAGGACTAAGAAAGTATACATAAAAAAAGACTGACGTGAAATTAAATGAAAGAATTACCATATGATGACATTCAATGTCGAAGTTTTTTTTTGATAATGAATAAAATGAGAGTAGACAGACGGCAGTCTGTATATACGTATATATATATATATATATTGATGTGTGTGTGACTCCAGGGATATATACATCATAGAAACAGGAAAAATAAAGAAGGTGGTCAAATGACGCGTGTGTCTGTTTCCGGTGGGCAAAAGGCCATCATCCATTTCTTTCAAAGGTCTCCTCGAGCTATAAATAATGGTTAAATATGAGATTGATTGATTGATTCACCGATTACTTCTTGCAAACATAATAGAACTTCATCTAACCAATTTCAACTAGTATTTATCGACCATTTTTACTTAAAAAAAAACTTGTTGGCATACCCCCTAGTTCTTTTAACTTTGATCAAACATATAATAAAAGGAAATCTCTCACTGTTCATCCTTCATCAATATTGTATGAAAAATAACGTTACTAACCTCAATCTGATCATTTTTATATTTCAATAAGTATAGTGCATCATTGAATGCAGGTATTCAATCAATACAAATGCATAAGGAGAGAAAAAAGAATTGTTGAAAATTCTACTTATGATTGCATGCTTTGAGCAAGAGAGAGAATGATTAGACTTGTTCGTAAACAGAAGCAGTAATCAAATTTTTACTCTTTCGTCAATCTCATTCAAAGTACTCAGATGACACAAGAATGTGCCAAATCCAGTAGACGATGAACAGATTAAACATGTCCAGACATAAGAGAACACAAAAAAAGCAATATGTTGTTTTTTTTCATTTCTGTTTTCTATCATCATATCAGATTAACTTGCTTGGTCAAACGAGACATGCAATGCAAAATGCAATTAAACCATGTCTTTTTAAACCCATTTAAAAATAATACTCAAATACAATAAAGACAAGATAATGATATCTCATTTATTATTCTCGGGTGGTTATTCTTTTAGAAAATATTATTGGAACTTATGTTGCATATGTTTATTGATGGCTACTGCTACTAAAAACTTATCTTAATTCATTTTCGTCATCGTTTAAAAGAAAGAAAAACGTCATGTCATCGATTTATACAAGACAGACGAGCAAGATATTGTATGCATCATAAGAAAAACATAATCATCAAATGTTCATTGAATAGATTATAAAGAAAATGATAGCATGAATCATTATTTTCCCAGAAAAACAAAAACTAATACACATATGTGATTTAGTAAGATAAGTCTACATCTTTTTGTCTCCTTTTCTAATCAGTAATATACTGGAAAATTTAAGAAACAAAACAGTACATATTGTAAAGATAGTTACATACGGATTATTGCTTGAACAAAATCATAAAAATGAAAAATGCCTTCAATATTGATTATTATTAAATGAATTAAATTAGTAATATGAAATTTTAGAATCCATCAAATTCTCCTTTCTTTGTTATTTCTATATTATCAAATGTAAAAGGAAAAGCGTGGAAAATATAGCAAATGCATCCAATGAAAATATGACGCTACTGTCGAATTTTCTTCAGTAATATAACTTTTTTTAAATTTCATTATTTCGTTTCATCATATCTATCACCTAATTTGAAATTCATTCTTTTTTCTTGAATTCATTTTTCATACTGAAATAACCCTAAAAAACTGAAAGAATTCTGTTGCTTAATTTTATAAATTCAATCGTCTTACATTATCGAAAAAAAGTTCTCTTAGGAAAACATTTATTCTAAAAGTAACGATTGTAGACTGTTTCCAATTCATTTTTCAATATAGCTGAAAATTTATCATATGTCACCAAAATTTGAAGAATTCTTACATGTTGTTTTTTTAATAATTTCTCTACTGGCATTATTACTAAAGAATTTTTAAGAAATTTAAATCTTAACTTTAAAAATAGAAATAGTTGACTATTAATGATAGTTTGTTCATACATTTTTATTTTCAACATACTAGTAATGATTCATAAATAGTAGTTTATATTTCAACAGGGTTTTTAATTAAAAGAAGATTATTTACATGATTACGATATGACAAGATAACGATGAAAATTATATTTATCAAGCAAAACTATCAGTCATTTTGAAACAAACTAATTTTAATGCTGAGCAGGATGTTCACCACGTGTGAGACGTGCATTGATTTCGACAATTATTGGAGGTAGTTCTGCAATAGTATCAATGATATAATGGGGATTACTAGGAGCAAATAGTTGATCAATGCGTTGGCGTTCAGAATTCAATTGATCGGATGAAAGGGCACAATAGTCATCCCATGTTAGACCGAGAAAGTTTCCAGAGAACCGTAATGCTACAGTCCACATTCCTGCACTGCGACCTTCGATAATACCTGGTGGAGTATCATCTACTTTGACACAAGCCGCTACATCATCAACTTCGAGAGCAATTGCATTAGCTAATGCTTGTGCTGGACTCGGACGACCTTTGGGTACCTCATCAGTTGCTACTGTATAATCTGGTAAATAGCCAATAGCGGCAGCTTCTGCTGTTAGTTTTTGCATTACTTCTTTGGGATAACCAGACGTCGTACCAATCTTTAAACCGACTTTCCGCAATTCAGCAATAGTGTCTAATGCACCTGGGATCAATGTCGAATATTCTGCCACTTTGGCAACTTGTAATGGTATAAATCGGTTATAGATCTCATTTACGTCGTTATCATTCGGTGAGCGTCCGAAGCGATGATGAAAGCGTTCGGCAATCGACGGTTGACAGCAAAGTGTACGAATATGATCTCGTTTACCAATACCCATAGGTCCACGTGCTTCTTCTAAGCTCACTTCTATGCCGAAACTGCCAAAGGCTTCAACAAAGATCTTGGTTGGTGCAAAACTGCCAAAATCAACTACAGTACCAGCCCAGTCGAGAATAGCAGCTTGCAGACGTGTTGGTAATTGATAACGCATTGTTCAGTAAATAGCAAGGAGCTAAAGATTCAATAACAATAAATAATCTATCTACTTTAAAAAAATTTCTTTTGTTTCCATGAATACTAATAAAGAAAAATAATTAAACTAAGAAAGGAATAGGTAAAGATTAAAAAAAAAACATCTAGGACAATATAATCATCATCACTTCTATTTTCATTTCTATATATGATATGATTTTGTTAGATAGATTATCTAACTTTATAGATATAGGTTTACTTAAATCTATTTTTTTTCTACATGTTAACATGTATGTTTTGATATATTGGGTTTAAGGTTACAAAATGATAAGAAAGAGAATGTCTACGATAGGAACTGATCATACATTCGTAATTAAGAAGCTTTTATGAATCAGTCAAGAATAAGATCAATTGCTTTTGATCTTGTTCTCATTTTATGCTTCTTAAAAAACATATGCGCTATCGAGTTATTATTGAGGCTCGGTATGATCATTGCGAACTACAATCTATGAAGGCCAGCTTTTTTTTTTGTTATTGTGAGAAAAGTATTTACATACTCAGTATGCACAATGAAGCGTTGTTAACGATAAAAAATAAGAATATAATGATATTTGTTATTTACATGAAAAGGAACGGAAGAAAAATCATCTGGTACACCATAAAATAAGGATACTGCTTTTCACACTACATTCTTTTACTCTTAGAAATTTACGAAAAGATTATTTTCAAAATAAATGTAATCATGTAAGCAGCCACAGAGTCGAATCAATATGAGTTTTTTTTTAAATTTAAGTGAAATCTATGAAGAATGAGCGCAGCAGTACTGTTGATCGCAGTTTCAAAAAATAACAGTTATCAATATCGAATGATTATTTCAGTAATCTTTAAAGTGAGAATATAAAAGTACTGATCATAATATATTGAATTTAGTAGCAGTTACTGTAGAACATAATCGACTAACGGATTTGTACAAAATAAGTGAATCTAAATCTCACTGTTTTTTCCCCTTTATTTCTAAAGATCAGATGGTTTCGTTTTTGTGTATCAAAAGACAGAAAATTACATAATTAATATTTGTTATCAATAGAGAAGTTTGTATTCTAAATCTAAAATCCCTGAACTTATTCAATATTTTCAATACCAATGTTCAACAGAAAAGGTCTTGGAAGTAATGTCTGTTCATAATTTTTTATTGTACTTTGGCGAGTCATGATTTTCAAAACTCGTACTTTTTCTATAGGAGAGTCCTCAGGAGGTCACTCGATGTAGGACTACATTTTGCAATACATCTTGTAACTGTTATACTGAACAATCATGCATACGTACACCCTTAATTGAGAACTGTGAGAAATATCGGAATTTAAGAATAGAAGATAAATTATTACAGCAATAGTAATGTATTAGTATTTTGTTGCGGCAGAAGTATTCAATATTCTAAACTTTTCTACTCAATGTTTCGCTATTCGGAGGAAATAAAATGATAATAATTGACATTTAGCACAATGTTAACATTTTATCTAAGCACATCTATTAGTAAGGAGCAACTGAACTCGTTATTCTACTTGGATTAATTGAGAAGGTGATTTTTGTAAATTTAATAAAACTTTTATAAATTCAATAATAGAACGGCTTGATCTGTTTCTAATAAAAAGAAGTCATAAACACAAATATTTCTTTATTAAAAATTATTCAATTTACTCTGTAAAATTTACTAGATATTTTGTAGTTGTAGCCCAAACGTTCTCTTACACTTCAAAATATTCCCTTCGCTATTTAATTTATAAATCGAAAATAAAATCTTAATCTTATTATAAAAATTCACCAGAACCATATGTTGCAAGTTCACTCATATGTGTACACGAGGATCATGATGATAAAGATGAGGTTTTAGACATTCCACGATCTCTATCGTGTGCTTTTATGTGAGTAGAAAACAATTATTGAAAAATATGTTTTGTTTTATCAATTAATTTAAAATCAATTTGAAAGATTTAGATCAATCAAGATTTTTATGGATCTTTGAACAGAGATTAGTGATGGTTTAATGGAGTTTTTATTCTATCGAGTACAATATCAGTTTCGTTCGTTTTAGTGATCATGCATATACGGATCAAATATACTGATACTGTTGGTACTGAGCTTATCCAAGAATAGTCCTATCATCTTTTTGGTTTCTCATGTCGAAGTATGTATTGCAGAATCGATACTATTTTATCTTTTTTTTAGCTTGACAAGCAATTAATGTTAGAACTTCCTACAATTTCTCAAGATCATTGTGTTAATGGAACCAGAATTTTATGAAAATATGATCGACTCGCCATCGTAGAGTTATTGTTTTATTCATCTTTAGTGGAGCGAAGGCAGATTAATTACGATATCTACTTTTGTCTCGTTTGATTTTTCATGATTCGAACTGAATGAAAGAATTAAATGTATTCTCAGTTAGAAAATTTACTATCCAAGAAGTCAAAGTTCTGTTGTTTGCATTTATCAATATAGATGGTAGCCTATGTTCACCTAGTAAATAAACTATGTTTACGGCGTTATTATCAAGAAGTTTTCGATTTCTATAATCTATTGTTTTTGAACAAATTGAAAGCATTTTACAGCTTATGAATAATCCACCTGATTGCCAATTGTCACTTGAATCAAAATAGTAGTATGCTAACTTATACGTTCATCGTTCATAGTTTGATAAAAAATTGAATTAAACATTAAAAATATCATCGAATCATTTTTGTTCATTAATCGATACAATATTTTTTTCATTTTTGTAGCTTTTATTGTCTATAAACTGAAGGAAATTTACTAAATGATAGATATACATAAGTAATCTATATATTAAATATTAATTTTTGTTTTGTCAAATCTACAGTAGTACACTTTTTAAAATACAATATCTTGGCAAGAAGTAAATGAGCTAAGAAGACGAAACGTAGTCTATCCATTCAATGGATTGATCGATTTATTTATTCAACTGGTATGTAAACCAGCAAATCGTAAATCAAGAGTATGAGTGTGAATCAATTACTTGATCAATATTAGTCTAAATAAGACTTTTCTTTGCTTGAGATTGAGTATTATCATGCGATGAAGAGGATCTCATTACTTTCTAATGATGAACCGAAGAAAATTTTAAACTTATTCTTGAATATTATTTAAAAGAGATGCACTTGAAGTTTTGTACTGATATATTTTCATTAATATTTGAATAGATGGTGATTAATATTCGCATAAGAGCTCTTTCAACTAGAGAAATAAGTAAATTTATTAACGGTAAAATTAACACTGATTTCAATAACACAAACACCGATGGTGTAGTCGTCATCATATCTCAATCAATGTTTAAATGATTATTTAGCGCAGCTGCCATGAATGAAACACTTTTAACAGCTTAATTGCTGTCTATTTGTTTCGTATTTGAATAAATGACAGAATATTTTCAGCTCGAAATTAGTCAACTAGCTTCTTTTTAAGCGACACACAACTGGGCTTTAGCGAAGCGACTTAAAATGTAGAAGTGAAAATCTAACAGAGTCAAATCGAGTTTAGAAGTGTGGATACCGTCTTGTTTAGCATCATCAGGAATAAGCACATTTTCATTCAGATGTCACAATATCAGAAGATTTCATGCAATGTTATATGTGAGTTAGAGTAACAATGTGTCTAATACAAAGACTATTATTATATGAGCACGTTTTAAAGTCGTTGATATTGGATAAATGACAGATAGAATGAAAGTAAAATTCACATATATACGTATATATCTTAGTGACAGAGCCAGAATTTTGAGCGCTTCATCACGAAATTAAATGTTACAAAATTCCACTGCAGGAAGCTCAAAGATTCGTGAACAGAACTCAACTACATCCTGATCCTCTCATCCTTATATATAAATAACTATACTACTGCTACTACAACTACATCTTCTAAATATTACATGTACAAAATAGAGGTGATAGTCAAATATTCTATTGCATCAAGTTTTTTACCAATGAAAATATTGCATCGAGCTGCTTTTGAATCATATAAATATAAATATAGATATATATGATGAATATTATCATTTTTTGTTATATACGACAATAGCATGTGATATAGAAAGTACGATGGTCGCAGCTTGTGATATTATGCTTCGTTACCGAGTTGTGTATTTTTTTATTTTAATATCATCTTTCATCATGGTTGTTCAGGCCGAAAAGCATTTGAATGCAAATGGGCCGTTTGGAAAACGGCATAAATTTAACAATGAGCCAAGTCCATATGCCTGTAATAGAGGAGCTGGTGTTTCTTCTTCGATTTTCCCTCGACGAAACAAAGTTGTACGTACTATACAAGTATCCAAAACAGTTTATATGAGCAGTGAACAAATTCAAATAACATGGACACCTATATTAGCTTCATGTAAAGATGATTTTATTGGTATTTATTATATTGAAATTCCCCTTACTACAGGTAGCTGTTCTACTTTCTTATGGTTTAGTCGTAGACAACAATGAATAAACTATTGTTTTTCTTTAGCTTGTGATTATTTCGATTTCGAATTTGTTCAAAACAAACAGAGTAGTATGTCATGGCAAATGATTAATCTTCGTCGCCCATTAGAATTCCGATATTATTCACGTGATAATACTTGTTCGGGCAATTATTCTCTTATTGCTAAATCACCTACTATTCAACCACTTAATTACAACGAGCCAACACAAATTCATTTAGCTTATGGTGATCGAATCGATCAAATGTTCGTTTCTTATTTAACTAATTCATCGCAATACATTCCGCAATGTCAATATGGATTAACATCATCGTCTCTAAATTTTCGTCAAAGTGGAACAACAACAACTTACACTGCATCAGATATGTGTGAAGGAAAGGCTAATGTATGGGGTCCACAAGCATTTATTGATGCAGGACACATGCATACGATTCTATTAGAAGATCTTCGTTCATCAACAACATATTTTTACCGTGTTGGAACTGATGAACATGGATGGTCATCGATCTATTCATTTACAAATCGTCCAGCAGATGAAAACGAAGCAGTAAACTTAATTACATATGGAGACATGGGTCTATCGCCAGTAGAACCAGGTGCAAAATCAACTATCGATCGAGTGACAGCACGAGTAACATCAACGAATATTACCTGTTTATTACACATTGGTGATATTAGTTATGCTCGTGGTGTTGGTGCTCTATGGGATGCATTTATGACTCAAATTCAGCCAATAGCAGCGCGCATACCTTACATGGTTGGAATTGGTAATCATGAATATGATCATGTGATGGGCGGAGATAAGGATCCAAGTGGCGCACCAGGTCCTGGCGGATTTCGACCAAAATGGTACAGTATTTTAGTCTAGACTAGTAGAGTGAACTATGAAATTTTCACAATATAAACATTCGAAAAAGTCACTATTTTTCTAATTTATTATTTTGCAATTCACATTAGATATAAAGAATGCAGAAAATTCATTTATTTATTTTTGTCTATTTCAGGGGTAACTACGGTTACGATTCAGGTGGTGAATGTGCTGTTCCAATGGTTCGTCGTTTTCATTCTCCATCCAATGGCAATAGTCTCTTTTGGTATAGTTTCGATGTTGGTCCCATTCATGTTATTCATTATTCAACAGAACATGATTTTCGTCATACATCTTCACAATATGCATGGCTTGAGCAAGATCTTCGTTCAGTAAATCGTTCACACACTCCATGGATTATTGTTGGTTCACATCGACCGATGTATGCATCGGAAACCGATGAACCATATGATTTTATTAAAATTATGTTACAATTTTATTTGGAACCATTATTCTATCGATATCATGTTGATGTTAATCTTTTTGCACATAAACACTCATATGAACGAACATGTCCCATGTATAAACAACAATGTGTATCCGATGGCATAACACATGTTTTAATCGGTATGGCTGGACAAGATATTGATTCTGGTGAATATTCAGGTGCTGAATGGAGTATTTATCACGATCAAGAATATGGATACAGTCAAATATGGGCCAATCGTACATATTTACATTTCACATATTATCATAATGATAATGATGCAGTTGTGGATCAATTCGTACTTCAAAAATAGATTTTGATAATATCAATAGAGTTTCCGTTTAATTTTGATTTCACTTTTTAATTTTTTTCTTTTTAAATGAGGGAATATGGCTACTAATATGAATAAATAATTTTGATGAAGAAAAACTCGCATGTTAAGTTGAAGTAATTTATCTTCAGATATGATAGAGTATCAAAATTTCTATCTACTATCGTGTATCATAGAGGAGAGTTCATTGTTTCTCATAGATAAACTTGAATTTATTTGCATACTTTTGCCAACCTTGAAGTTCATCGGAGTGCATTTATTAATATGGTTCCTAATATATATAAATCGCATAAAAATGAATAAAACACAAAAACAATAAGTCAATATGATGCACCTCGTTTTTCCCTATACTATTGATTATTAAAAATAGTTACGTATACTTCTATTTTAATACTGTACAATATCACTAAAATTACTCAATACAAAAAGTGATTTGAATATAGAAAATGAATGCATATTTCTTATTTTTCTTTCTAAACTAATTAAATTATGTAATTCGTTTGAAGTATATCCTCCCGCGTATTACTCGTTCATTGTTATTCTATAATCTACTGGTGTTAACTATCATATGTTAAGTATTTCATGCGAATGCTAGCACACACATACACACCCAGGAAATTTTACACATATGAGACGTAGCATTACACAAATGAACTATTGAGTGCTTGCAGAGTAATTAAATGATCGAACTCGACCTGTATGCTGAATATTTGTCGCATGAATTGAATATGTTTTTCCTGTTGATAAAATTTACACAATTATGAAATGTTTAGTATTCGTAGGAAAAAAATATTCTTGTTCAAATATATTGACGAACAATTGAATTTATGTAATAGAACACAGGAATCAATCATAATTGTACTGAATACGCTTGATGGAAACTAAAAGTTTTGTTTTTTATGATAAATTATTTTGTTCCATTGAAAAACAGAAATTTTTAGTATTATTTATTAACAACAGTACTCGTAACATTGACCTGTTCACATCATTAAGTGAATATTTTTCGTATTATCTGCTTCTATCATTTTTTGTTATATGTAAAATATTGTTTCAATAATAAAATCTACTCATAATATTTGTTCTTCTAAAATTCAAGTGAAAATAGTAGCTATAATAAAATCCAATCAAATATCACGAAGTACGATTAAAAAATATTGAGCTAAACTAAAATTGCTTCTGCAACTTTTAAGCGAAGTTTTTTGAATAACTAGAAAACATTTCGAAAATTTAAAATAGAATACTATTTTAAATTTTAATATTGTATTGTTTTCACACGAACGTATGTGCTTGTAAGTATTAGAATAGAAATAACATTGCAAATCGTTAAAGTTGAGTCAAATATCTTCGATGAAATTCTGATGATGGTTTTACTCACAAAAAAAACAGAGAATATACATCAGTTCTAATATAACCACTATATTTCTCAGTGATACAAAATATCAATCGGTGTAGCATTATGATTTTAAATATTCTACTTTAATCATCAACAATTAAGTTATGATTGCAATAATCTAAATTACATAATATCAACAAATCTACTGGAAACCAACTGAGAAAAATATGAAAAACAAAATAGAAATAATACAACTATAAATACAGACATTCATAAAATATGTACGTTATGGATCATAACTAAGACGTACATAGGGAAATCGAATGGTCTTCAAATCGACGGATTCATACGTAGTTATTTCTGGCATAATACACTGTCCAACAATTTTTTTCTTTTATAATATTACTCTTCTCAAAAACAGAAAGCTTTGAATACGCTTTTATTAGAAATCAAACAAATCACAAGTAATGCCATATTTGAAACGATGATGTTGTAATTCTTAGATTATTGTGCAATTCTTGGGATCAACTCTACATATAGATAATGTCAAGATGAATAGTACTGTCGTAAAATAACTACATAACTATAATAGAAATATTAATGGAAATAGATAGTATACAAAATTTATGTTATCAATCAAAATAATCGTTCAACGACTTTTATTTTACTTGAAGTATTCGTAAAGAATAAAGAATAAAGAATATATACAACATTTTTTTACTAGGAACACAACATAGCGACCAAATATTACCATTATATTCTATGAAATATGACTTTCTCCCCCCTAGAAATAGCGATGACCGCTTTATTTTCGTTCCTATTCTGTCTACGTGATATTGAACAGGCCACTCACATGTATTGAGAAGAAAGAGAAAGAAAAAATCTTCTACTATACATGACCTCGGTCAGTTGTCCGCTATTTGAAGAGTGAGAGAAAAAAATTCGACGTCCTTTCTTTTTCTTCTTTTTGTCTACCGAGAATTTTCTTCTACTAGTATTTATTCATTGGTAAGACGAGTAAAGGGCAACACATAAACTCATATATTTCCTTATTTTTACTCTAATCAAAACTGTGCAAGTAAGAAAGGCATTTTAATTAATCCATTGAAAACAAAAATTATGTTTCTCTTTGTGTTCAGAATGACTCCAGCACCACCGAAATTTGGCGTACGATTTTTAACACGAAAAGAACGTACTGTCAGACGAGTTACTAAATGTGAAACGAGAGAAATAAAAAAACGTAGGTCTTTTAATTTATTCAATCGAGTTTTTCTAAACGAAATATGATTTCAATTCAAGGTTTAGAACCTCCCACACCACCTTCAGTTCCAGTTAAAAAAATAAAAACTCTGAATGCCGCTGTTCGTCCTAAACCGGCAACTCTCGTTAAAATTCGTGAACCTAAAAAGGTAAAACCTATGGCTGAACTCTCAAGTAATGAAAAAGAACAAGTCCGAACAACAACTTCATCTTCTGTTAATCGAGCTATATCTGCAACTACAGTGAAAAGTCCCATATCATCTGTTCGTACATTACAAACAACTGATTTACAAAGATTATCTCGTTTGACATGTTCACGTGAATTTAGTTTTTTTCACAAAGAAATTAAGTGCGAACTACGAACTAACGAACATCAACTTGCATTTTTTCAAACAAAATTATATCATTTGAAAAATGAATTCATTAATCAAAATTCTGAACATCATAATTTAGAACAGATAAAAAATTATTTTGCTGAAGCTCATCAAAAAAATATTGATCGAAGAATTAAACCTGATGAATTTAATACTTTAGCTGACAAACTTAAGCAAGATATTAAACAAGTAAGATTGCCTTTTGATCGAAATTTTTTTAAAGTAACTTTACGTTTTAATTAAGGCGATTGATAAATGGTTGAAAAAGAAAGAGCCAGGGAAACAAAATCGAGCATTAAGTGATTACACACAAAAACGCCAATCACGTATTCGAGAATTGATTAAAGAAACAATTGAAGAAACCAAAAAACAGCAAGATCCATTACAAGAAAATTCTGATAAAGTTGAAATGGATAATACTCAAGATCAGTCTCAAATCGAAGCGGAATGTATTGATTAGCCATAAATTATTTCATTTTGCTTTTGTAGCTTTTTTTTCTTTTAAACTTTGTAACAAATAACATTTTTTTGTTGTCTTTTGAATTATTCAGCAAAACAAAAAATCAACATTTGAATAAAAGCCTCAACTAAGATTAACTATAATTTTTTCTATCTTATTCATGAAAATTATTCTCGAATGATCAGCTTTGAAGGGTTCATGAGACTGATTCTGAGTTTTATGTTTCAATGAATAAAAGCTTCTCTCGACTTCTCTAATATATATTACACATATTTTACATGTGCATCTTAGTTGTTTGCAGAGACAGTTTACATAATATGTTTTTCTTTTGTTATACATGATTGATTCATACGGCACGATCAAGTATATAACGTCATTTAAAATATTGCATATATTTATTTTTCACGCGTCTATATTTTCTATTCGCTATTTTTAATTATTATCGAAACATCCAAGAAATCAAACATTTGCGTTCTCATCAGGCTATTATCAGTTCCTTTTTTTCTTTTGAAATTGTTTTTATTTAAATATGTCAACTGTTTGTCTTCTATATTAAGCGATATTATTTTAAGCCAGGGAAATGAACAATAATCTACGACCAGAATATTCTTCTTTTCGCGAAGACTATCCAAATCAGTGAGCGAAGATTTTCTTTGATCTACTGTTGATATTTGACTTCAAGTTCACTTTGAAATAGAGATCATGCTAGAAACATGAACATCCATCCACTTTGTCGATCTGCTAATGTTGCTTGAGCAAGTATGTTTTTCTCTCATTTGATGTTCACAATGCAACAATAAATTTTCAAGAACTCCCTTCGTTATCTGTAGCACCATGGAATGTGACACAATGGATTGATTCGATACAACAAAGATCTAAAACATAATGCATTACTGTGTGTTTTTTTTCTGTCGTGTTAAAGTTGAAAAACTTTCAACAGTTAAGTTTTATTTCATAATAAAATATTCTTTAAAATGCGTTTCCTTAATTTTTATTTTACTACTGTGAGTCTTGCTGATGTTTAACTGAATGAATAATATGTTCAATCATTTTTTGATTGTGGAATTCATCGTCATCTTTTTTCAATTCAAATATATATGTGACATCAACAAGTCGATTATCATGTGTTTTTAATACCACGTGAATACCATTTTTATTGTTTGCATCTTCATTACATTCTAAAATAGTTGCATTTGCTTGAGAATTTAGAAAGTCGTGTTCATAATAGGGTCGCATTGCTGCTACACCTGCCATAATCACTTCACCATTAAATATAACACGACAATCAGGATGAAGAAAACTAACTATTTTATTAATATCATGTTCATTGTAAGCACTAAAATATTCTAATAACAAAGTGTGAATTGTCATAATGTAAATAAGTAGTTAATGCTTCACTATCACAGATAAAAATGAAGACAGACTGAAAAATTTATATATATTCTGAGTTGAATTTTTGCTGCTATCTATGCTAATCAAACCGCACACGTTTTAAATGAAAAAAAAAGAAATAGTTGGTTTATGATACGAGGTCTGATACCTTTCTTTCTTTTAATGCTAACTAATACGCTTGGTTCTCTATATTTCGAATAGAAGTAAACTAGATTAAAAAATATGTCTTATAGATATCCACAATTTGTAGATGCCGCCCTTTATCATATTTTATTCTATGTAAAAGAGGTATCTCTATACTCTGACTGGTGGATGTGATGTTGCAACAGCTTAAATTATTCATGTATTTCATACAGGAATTAAATCCAATAGCCACCTGCTCTTTCTCACTTTCAATAATATTGATATCAGATTGATAAAGCTACGTCTATGGATTTTTTCTCAACATTTCTCAATATAATTTTCATTCTATCACGTCTCACTAGTTTTCGTCAGTATACTCAATGCAGAACAATCTCTATCCACATTTATATTAACGATTTCACTGTTCAAATACACATTGATAATGAACTGTGACGTATTCTTGAACATTTTATGGATCGTCGCTTTGATCTTTTCTTTTTGAATACATGATTATTGAGTTTGTATTAGCAAACAAAATATAAACTGTTAAGACAATTTCTTCGTAATTAAAATATAGTCGCTATTGACAATCTTAGAGAAATTGTTTTATTCAATTAGTTTTAAGACACAGGATTAAAGATGAGAATATTGAAACAAGAGATGCAATCTCAGTTATGTAGGCACAACTATACAGTGAGTGCCCATATATTCAATTATGCACCCACACCCACACCCTCAAGATAGCAGTTGAATTGATAAAAGTTCATTATTAACAAACATTTATTTCTCAAGATCGGTATGAGTATGATTGTTTTCAATTGAGGAATGCTGACAACTACTCTCGAATTTATTCTCACAGTTACGTCACACCCTGGCAACTGAATCCTATCGGTGGATGCTGTGTAGTATGTTTAGTAAATAAAAATTCATTGGTGGTTCTTCTGATACGTGAGTGTCAATCAAATTGTGATATAGTTAAAAATTCAATTCATGTTGATTTGCACAGCTATTTCGTATCGTATCGGATGATATACGAGAATCCTTTTCAACCAATATAGACGCAAGAAATATTGTATTCGTTCTTTTTTTGCAATTTTCTAACATGATGAGAAAGAAAAGTATGGCTTTAATGATTAATATATTGAGTTCTGTATTTTTTAACATGTAAAAACTTTTTTCTTATTAAAACATATATGTGGGACTCTAACTTCGAGGCATATCAAGTAGGAACGACACATGGTTTCAAATAAATGCTAAACGATACTATTTTATTATTATTAAAAACATACAAAATCAAGTTAGCCTTGTCTAAAGTATAACTCGTATTGATAATAAAAAAGATCAAAACTATGCATAGTTGAATTTCAATCAATAAGTAGTCTTTCTTTTATCATTCTGGGCCTTTTTCAATACTTTTTCTTATAATGCATGTTCTTGTTTTATATATACAGCAACTCTCTGTACGATTATTTACCTTTAAGAGAATAGCATATTTTTTTGTTTTTTATCTATTGCTTTTCGAAAGAGCTGCATTAGCTTTCTCTTTGTCATTTTTATTTATTTAGTAGCAACGACATGAGTTGACTATAATAAAAACTGAAATAATCTATTCGTCTACTATTTTTTTAGTTACTAATATTTGATGTATGTCATCCATTCGAACACAAGATTAAATTATCAAAATACTTTGGTTTGCTATTAGTAGTCATTATAGACTCGTATATATATATTATCTTTTTAAAACGTCAGAAAAAGTCAAACAAAATGGAAACTGTCACTCTGGAACATGATAATGACAACAGTGTGAACAAATCAGGAAAACGAATTTTTATACCTGCTATAGGCTCACTAGGAGATGTGAAGCCTTATCTAATTCTTGCTAAAGAACTGAAAAAACAAGGTCATATAGTATGGCTTGGCGTACATCAACGTTTTGAAGATGAAATTAAAAAGTACGGTAAGACTTTTGTTTCTCACATATTTAATCTGGTTTGATGAAATCACAAAGTTAGTTAAATGCTTTGTCAATGCACAATCATATTTAATTCTATAAAACAAACGAAACAGTCTATAATCAACAAATATACTTTGTATTTACTGGACAATTTAAAAGTAAAATCGAGGGAGTTCGATGTACAGATAGTTATTCATAATTCAGTAGTAAAGGAAAGTTCTCTAAATGATATTCATCTTCTGTAAATATATGTTAAAAATTTATATTATTTTTCAAATGTTCGAACATGTTTTTTTTTTCTCTTTATATTGATGTCGTAGATATTGATACAGTAGAAATTGGTGGTGATATGGAAGTCATTTTATCCACAACGCCTGACGGAATAGAACTTCAACGAAATCCAAGCGTCTTCAAAATGGGCTTAGTTAAACGTGTTTTTTTACCATTAATGGAAGAATGGTTTAATGGCATTGCAGCTGGCTCAAAAGACGCTGATTTAATTGTTTTATCAGTAACATCGGTTTTAGCTGGTTTAAGTTGTATCGAAAAATATTCAAAAACAAAAGCTATTGGAATCTACACGTACCCTTGTACACGTACAGCTGAATTTGCTCCACCTGCTTTTGGTGGGAAAAGTGAGAGCTTATTTAATTGGATTAATTCATATAAATGGAATATTTTTGAGTTTGGAGCATCGACTATGTATAGCGATAAAATAAATCAGCTACGTGCTAATATTAATTTACCACCAATAAAACTTAACTATGATCAAATGATTAGATCTATTTTTAAAAGGCCAATCTTAACTGCAACAATTTATTCAAAATGTTTACTAGCAAAGCCAAATGATTGGCCTGAAAATGAATTTATGGTTGGTCCAATTCTTCAGGAAACAGAAGAAGATCATGAATTTCAACCATCAGATGATCTTCGTAATTTTCTAGATAAATGGCAAAATGAAAAGATAATTTATGTCGGCATTGGATCAATGATGAATATTATGTTTAATGCAGATGAACAATCACAATTTCTAAAAATGACTCAAACGGCTATTGGAAATACTAATTCTAAAGCAATTATATCGCTAGTTGGTTTTCAAAGTATCGATGAAAGTAAATTATCTGATCGCGAAAATATATTCTATCTAAAACAGACTATTTCACATTCATGGTTATTTCCAAATATGTCTTTAGCAATTCATCATGGAGGTGCTGGCACTACCCATACAAGTTTGAGATATGGATTACCAGCGTTGATATTACCTTTTGGAGCTGATCAACCTTTTAATGGTGATCGAGTATTTATTAATAAACTAGGACCAAAACCTATTCCAATACGTCAGGTGAATGTTAGAAAGTTAACTAATGGCATACAAGATCTTATGAATAACTATGCGATGTATAAAAATAATGCTCTAAAGGCTGGTGAAAAGATTAAGGATGAAAATGGACTTGGTCATTGTATTCAACTGATTGAGAAAACATTAGTGGAATGATATCGTATTGAAAATAAGTGCAATATACCATATCAAGTGATCTTTTTTTACTTTATTATTTAAAAGTTTTCTTCAATGCGCAAATTTTTCTAGAAATTTCGTTATCAACATTTGATTATTAGTCTTCAAATTGTTATACTTGTATTTTAAATAAATGGATTTTTTGTCATTAATATTCGAATATAAATGATGTTTTCATCTTTGCTTCATTCTTTTCCATGGATATTATTACGATTAAATAACAAAGCCATCCACGGATACTGATATGAGATTATGTAGCCATAAATTGAATACTCGAAGAAGTTACTTATGTGAGCGAATATTTTATAAAATGACATCAATCTTAAAAGTTTGAGTTTTAATTATGTAAAGGAGTATTAGATATTTTATCAATACACATTGATTTATTTGAAACGGAAATGCAATGAAAACATCAATGGTGTTACTCAAGTACACAACTAAAAGAACTATAAAAATTCGTCTAAGTCAATTTGGAAAATACGGTCGATGAAAATTGTTGCAAAGTAAATTGAATCATATTTAAGGCATTTAAGAAACACGGATGTAGAGCACTTATTTCCTCTAAAACGTCGGCGTATTAGTTTTAATCAATTTTAAACAATAATTGCTTCGAAAATAAACAAATTCCAAGAGAATTACTCTCTAATCCTACAAAGTAAAACAATATCTGGATCTGGATGTAGATTCTGAAAAAGATAGTAGAAGTTTTAGTATCTGTATGACTGATGAAACACATTTATGAAACGTTCTCGTATATTTCTCAAAACGATTGAATACAAAGAATACATGAAAGTACAATCATACGTCTACGTTCGCTGATCCACGCCCGTAGAAATCTTTCATCCTACAAAGGAAGAAGTTGTTCTATACGACACTTTTATGCCAAGACTATATTATACGATTGTAGATATGTTTTTAGGATCTCTATGTGATTGCCAATTACCAAAACAAGATTTTAACAGATTATATTTAAATATTGAATTTTTCATGTATACATTCATTAGATACATACAATAATTTTTATTTTATCTTGTTGAAATTCTCAAATGCTTTGTCACTTCTTCTTCAATCTGCTTTCCTTTATCTTCATTTTATGGACATTTTTACGAACGAAGGTGAGACCCTTAATACGAATATAAATTTTAATGCTGGTTTCTGTCACAAAAATCCGAAATTTTCTTCCCATATCTAATGTATGAAACTCGAGTACAGTCAGCCAATAAAACTGTTGTGACAAAAAAGTCAACATTTATTGTCTCATTTTATTGGATGTAATCTTTCAAAACCATTTGTAATGCGAAATCAATTGATAAGTGATACTTATTCAAACGGAGTGAATAATTTTGCAAGGGTAAGTCAGAGAAAAATGACAGCAACTCTATAGTAGTATCTCTATCAGACAACGAAAACAAGAAAGCCATAAAAACAAGTGAGTGCTCAATTATGAAAATCATTTTTTGAACATTTTCAAGTAGAGTTTTTGTTTTTAATGAGACAGTAATTAATAAGGAATGACCTACTCCCGTTATAAACTAAAACTTAATAATGCTTGTCTAGTTCTGTGCCAGATTTTCAGAGAAATCGACAGTTACCTTTAGAATCTTGCAAATACATCGAAGAGATTCGTGAGTCAAAGTCACGACTTGCCTCACGATTAGATAATTTGTAAAAATCTTTCAAAATCTATTCTATGGGCACATTCAAACACAATTAATATTCATGTCTTCAATATTCTGAGAGAATATTCTAAACCGCGAGGTCGTGAAATAAGCTCAGTACTAGATGAGAGTAACTGGAAGCACAAGACATCGCGAAACTAACAAATTAATCTCTAATGTATAAGACGCTTTGGAAGAACATAAAAAAGATTACAATTGACTTAGTTTATCAGTGTTCGGATGAATACGTATATAGGTTTTTTATTTTATTTAGAATGTAGCCACTTTAACGATACATTTTTGAAATCTTTATTCCCCTACTTGGTGCATTTCTCTATCAATCTTTGTATATCAATTTTTTACAGAACAAATGATATAACCCCATAGGATGAAAAACTTTCTATCTGCTAGATATGAATTGGAAAATGTATTGAACAGCAAATGAGAAAAAAATATACGAAATAGAAAAATCCAATATATGAGGCTATCATATAAAGAATGAAAAACAACAGAAATTAATCATGATCAACATTAATCTTGTAAACTCATCTAAATAAGTGTAGGATATTAGAGAGGCAACTCTAAAGAAAATTATTGTTCGGAAATAGATTGCTTTTATCAGAGCGAATTTTCTTTGACCATGGAATTTGTAATGATCAATAGTTTCGCTGTTGTTTAACTGATATTTCCACTAGTTTTTAAGCATTTCATTAATTGATTTACGTTATAGCTCATCTAATTCGATGTCATATAGAGATTATTTCCATGGCAACAATAGTTTCTCTTTGTTATTCTTTTTAAAATTTCGCTGTTTTTCTCTGCTGGTTTCACACAGTAGCGAAAGCTTTTTCAACGTCTGTGAATATCTTTGAGTAAATGTTTCAACATAATTCTTTCCAATCATAGAATTCCGCGTAAACTGATTATGAAATACTGAATCTAACATTGATTTTCAATCATAGAAGCTAGTCTACCATCGCTACTAAGATACATTTGATAAATAGATCGGAGAAAAATAAAAACTCCTATAATTTGATAGCTCCTAGGTACATCTATTTTCTATTTATATCCTTAACACTTCGAAAATAGCAATTGGAAAATAGAACATTTGACGCATGTTCTAAGGTAGATCACATTTTAAATATCTTCCTATGACAAACGCCCATATTCTTTCCCGTTGTGTCCTATCATAGTTGACAATATGTGAATTCTTGAAGTTTTCAACACATGAAAAAGCTTATTTAAGAAATAAATTTCAAATTTGTTCAGTAACACACTCTACATAGGGCAATGTTTTGTCTTTTTCTCACGCATATTCCCAAACTCGAAGAACGTATGAACCAAAATATGGGTTTCGTCTTTGATCATATAACATTCACTAAATGAAATGCTAAAACGTTTTTCTGAAATTTCGTCAATATTGACGAATGCGAAATTCATCATAAAGGTAACAAGAATTCGTCGATAGACAATATTCCTTTAAAATAATTGGTATCCGATCTTCTCTCTTCATCAAATATTATAATAGATGTGCATGAAAAACTCTTGATTCTCTCGTGACTCTCATTATGTAATCTATCGAAATTTGTCAACAAAATATTATGACCGTATGGTTTAAGAAAATGAAATTATACAAAGCAGATTTTTCGAAGTACAAACACTTTTGTTTAAGACTAACGTTTTTCCTTTTATTTCAACATGTTTAAATGTATATCTCTTTTAAATGAACGTTTGAACTTGTTCATAAGACAGAAAGATTGTTTTTCTCTCTCTGATAAAAACTTATTTGCAGCATTGTGTGAATGCGTTTGCGTCTATATATTTAAGATGTTCTTTCGTTAATAGATAAGCTATTTCACAAACGAGTTAAATGTAAATTCTGAGTTAAATTTTCAAGAATATTGCTATTTTTATCAGCGAGTCCATCCGGTTTATCGTTTCCCACAGAAACGATAGAAAAAAAGCTTCGAACTTGTCAGATCCCTATACGTCTACGTTCTTTCTATAAGTCTTAATCTTGTACATATCTATCTGTATCTCCTAACCTGCACATCCAAATCTCTACATCTAAATCTTTACGTCTTAATCTATTCGTCTTAATCTAATACGCCTTTATCTGTACGTCTTAATCTATGAATCTTAATCTATGAATCTTAATCTATACATCTTAATCTATACGTCGTAATCTAATACGTCTTAATCTAATACGTCTTAATCTAATACGTCTTTGTCTATACGTCCTAATTTAATACGTCATAATCCTTACATCAAAATAATACAGATAAATCCTCACACCCCTTATAGGTTACCCTATCTGACGATCCCATAGGGTTTTAGCAATATCACCTGGGATGCTAGCAAGATCACCTAGACTTTTAGCAATATTGCCAGGACCGCTAGCAACGTCATGTAGGAAGCTAGCAGCACCTGTGAAGCAGCTGCATTCGAAATTCGCATGTTGAACTCCACGATGGCTACAGGTAGATGCCGCTGTGTACACAGAGACAAGCGTTGGTCGCGGCTCTGCAGGGGGGGAGCACTGCGCGCCCCCACGCCGCGACACTAAAATAAAGGGTTGTGTGGTTACCCATTGTTTCCCTCTGCATGATTTCGCATTACTTATAATTGTTCGCTATCGTTTCTTTTTTTCCTGAGTTTACCTGGGACTTAATCTGAATTTGACAATTGATGTGAATCTCAGATAATGCCGCTAGCATTCCAAGTGAGGGTCGGGGGATGGAATACTCATGGATGGACATAAAGATTTATCGATGCTGGTTTAGACGTGCTAGATTAGAACGTACAGATTAATACGTACAGATTAGGACGTATAAGATTTAGACGTACAGATTTGGATATGATAAATAAATTTGTACCTAGAAAACAATGACTGCGACCGAAGTATCAGTTTATTGGAGATTTAGACGTACTTTAGACGCCCTCCCGAAATCATCGTCTGTTTTTCTATCAGTGTTTCCCAGAGAAACCATAAAGCGGATTACATGTCCTCTCAAGATTAATTTTATGATCATCAAAAAGCGAACTACACTTGAATGTGGGTGCAAAAAGATATGATTACGAATGAAAACATCGCGAGTACAATTACATGAAAAAAAGTTCATTTGAATTTTAAAACTTCTTCAGCCAGTTAAAAAAGTTAGAAATAAAATGATAACGAGTAAAAAATTCAGTAAAGACGGGGATTAAAATAGATAAATTTTTAGGAGAAAATAAGTAGCAGACATTTGTTTGTAACTATCATAGTAATTCGTTCAATTATATTAGTCCAACTTCTATTTTTTTATTATTGTTTGTTTATTGAGAACATTGAGAAACATTTTTGTTTTTCGCTCATGAAATGGTCAAACAAGTTTTAGCAAAATATTCATTCAAACAAAATAGTATTTAACGTTATTAGTTTCTTATTCTCTCCAATATAACATTTACGGTTAATTTCGATAATAGCCTGTTTTTTTCTTCATCTTTTTGTTGTCCTCTTTCTGTTCCATTATATGGCTGTTACTATGTTCTATCCTTTCGGCAATTAGATTCATAAATTTTGAAATACTATTTGTCCATTTCTCTGTTTTTCTTATGTGTTTTACTTCTTATTTACCTAACTTTGTACATCTATGGTTTAAGTATCGGTAAAAAAAGAAATCACATAAAACCTATCCATAACGATTCACACACAGACTCGTATCTTAGAAAAAAATACGCTTTTGACAGAGGTCATTTGTAACCTAGATAAGCATTTACTGTTACCAGACAGATCCCTAATCACAACATATATCCCAGGATGAAAATCTGACTAAAGGAAAACAAAAAGACAGGAATAGATTTGAATTGCTATCTCTCGATTATTCTCAAATTATCTATTGCCGTCGATATCTATAATCTTATGAGATCACAACTATATGAATTACTTGAAATGCTATTTTACAAGATCACTAAAATTTCTGTTTTTATTATTTGTTTTTCGAAAACATTTTTGTGTTTATTTATTTAATCATATGAATTATTTCATTATATTAAGCAATGCTATCGCGCACTTTTTATTCCGTTCTTTGCTAAGAATTTTCGCAATTTATGATAGTCCGTGTTGTAAAACATGAAGTATAATTGACACTCTCGATTAATACATTATAATCTTATCAAAAATGAAATATAAATGCGTACAAAAATGTTTTTTCTTCGTCTTTATCTCACCTTTTATAATGTTAATTGTGATTGTAGTTCCTGAAGTCTGTAAAATTTTTAGCAAATGAATTGCTAAGAAACATGTAATATGGTGATGCAAATATTAAAACAAAGTCATAGATTTGGATAAATAAATAGGATAGAGCTTTTCTCAAGAGAAAAGAACACATTTTTAGGGAATAGATACACTGTGTAGCATAACTAGTCTAGAAAAAAGATGTTAATAGATAGAAAACGTTTTCAAATATACATTTTTGTTTCCAAAGAGAGCTTTAACATTCTTGATAACCTAAACAAAAACAAATAACTACGGTTCATTTACAAAGAAATTCATATTATTTGATTGTAGCTTAATACAACATTATCAAGAAAATGTCGACAGATAAAGTAGATGAAACTCATCAATATGTAGACAAAATATCGGCGAAACTCGAAAATGAAAATCATCATCATCAACATGGCAATGTTCATTATGGAAAACGACGGGCTGCTGTGGGGTTGGCAGCATTTAGTTCTCTAGGTGGATGGTTCTTTGGCTATGACCAAGGTGTCACTGGTGGTATAGTTGTCATGAGCTCATTTAAAAATGACTTTTGTAATGGTGTGTATGGAAACCAAAGTGACTGTAATCTGCCAGTAGCTGCGTTGCCTTCAGGGTACAGACAATTCTTAGTATTGTTTACATTACTGTATAATATTGGATGTTTTATTGGTGCTGTGTTTATTTCATCATTTGTGGCAGAAAAATTTGGGCGTCGAGCGATTATTTTTACGTCTGCAGCATTATTTTTAACAGGCACTTTAATAGTTATTTGTCCACCAGGAGGTTCTGCAAAAATTATGATTTTAATACTTTTTGGGCGAGTTGTCGAAGGAATGGGTGTTGGCTGTTCTTCATTTTCTTGTCCAATATATGCTTCAGAAATAGCCCCAACAAACCTTCGTGGAATGCTTTCGGGTTTTATGCAAATGACTGTAGTTACTGGTTTATTTACAGCCAATATTGTAAATTTGATATTTCAAAATCATAATTGGGGTTGGCGATTATCAAATGGACTTATTCTAATTGCTCCGATTACTATAATGATTGGAATATTTTTCTGTCCTGAAACTCCACGATGGTTATTTAAAAATAAGGGACGAGATTTAGCAGAAAAGAGCTTAAAACGTATCCGTGGAATCGATGATGTAGCTGCTGAGTTGGACGCTATTGCTGATGCTGTACAAGAAGAAGGCAATCAACTTTCATTCAAAGAACTCTTTACAACTAAGAAAATGCTTCAACGACTGGGTGTTGGTATGGGCGTACACATTTTACAACAGGCAACAGGTATTAATCCTATATTTACATTCGGTGGTATTATTTACGAAAGTGTTCTCGGAAAAGGTATCATAGCATTATTGGTTCTAGCTGGTGCAAATCTGTTAAGCACAATACCAGCTCTGTTCTTATTCGACAGATTAGGACGTCGAAATCTTCTCATATTTGGTGGCTTAGCAATGGTAATAGGCCATCTTGTTGCAGCCACAGTATTTGTTACAGGCTGCGATGTCGTTAAAACTATGATTAATGGCACTACCGTTGCTGAAGAAATGGTAAACTGTAAAACAAGTTCTGGAATACTAATGCTTGTCTTCACCGCTATTTTTGTAGCTTTTTTTGCAATTTCTTGGGGGCCAATAGCTTGGATTTATTCAGCTGAGATATTCCCTTTGAACGTCAGAGCCAAAGCTGTTTCTATCACAACAGGAAGTAATTGGTTTATGGGCACGATCATGTCGTATATATTAGAGTTGATAGCTCCACTAGGAATACATGGATTGTTTTATCTTTTTAGTGGTCTAACTTTATTAGCCGTAGTATTCGTTTATCTTTTCTGTCCAGAAACACGAGGAGTTTTACTAGAAGATATTGAAGAAACTTTTGACGATTTCAAACTGAAGAATAGAACAATAATTAAACTATTACGAAAACCATGTAATGAAAATAGAAAAAAATCGGCTAAAGTGAATCCAATTGAGATGAAATTATGAAATCTTTCTTGTAATCATCTATTTACTCTGTTAGAACTTGCTAAAGATGAATTTCATAAGCTGTTATTTTCATAAAATAATTACTATTTTTGTTTTTCATTTGTATTACTTCAAATAAATAATATATGTATTTAGTATTATTTACGAAATTATAAGTGTATCGATATGATAGAGATGATCTTTATTTTTTATTTCATGAAATCATCTTACGTTGTATTGGATAAACCTTTATTAAAAATAAACACGCCACATTATCATCGTACACTGTTATAACGTCGATTCTTTTTTCCATCATTGTTAAATTAACATTGACTTTTAGTTGTCATTGAGAATCTCTCATGTATTGCCTGACTCAACTTGACACACTTACTTTAGGTCTGATAAACAATTTTGAAATGAATTTGAATGTCTTTAGAATCTCATTACTAGTTATATTCTTGTTTAGACTTAGAAGACGCATCAAATGATTTCATAGAATTTTACTACAATAGCTTGACATATATTAATGTCAACAACAGTGAACTTGGCCATTTCAATGGGACTATTTTCGACTTTTGTAGAAGTAATAGAGTTGAGCTTTAACTTTCTTTATCAATGATCACTTTGTGCTAACTTAATTTCATATATCGATTGAAACAGAAGACAAATACTTCTATTAATCAACGAAGTGTCGTAGATAGTGCACGGAAAATAGTTTATATTGATAGAAAATGACATATCCATGTCTAATTTTTTCAAATTATATTTGAACGTTTAATCCAAAGATAGTTGTATCGATGAATATCATATATTGTTAATAAATAATAGATACATACATGCATGCATAGTAAGTCTAATTATGCTTGCCAAAACCTTTGGATATTTACACAAATGAGTCCACTAATTCAATAATTTATCACACTAAAGTATCATAAAAAGGCCATCATCGAAATCAGTCAACAAGAGCAGAAAAATAAATAAAATTGATATTTAATTTTGACAACAAACTACAATTCTCTCATATAAATAAATATTACAATACATCCTTTATAATTTACTGTTTTTTTCTTTATTGTTCTTTGTTTGTTGTTTATTTTCTTATTTAAAATTAAAATTTCAAGGTTTTCAGTCATTTTTCAAAAATAGTATAATTTATTAAAATGAAATCTTAAAGCTTTTAACTGGTTAGATATGAATTTTCGTTTTTTCAAAAGGAAAATTGCTAGGAAATAAAGATTTACAAATCTAAATACAACGATCAATGAACGTCTTCTATTTCGATTACAGATCCAATAAAATAAATTGACCATTTAAACTATGATTGTCAAGGCTATATCACGCAGAATCTTGCTCTATGTATTATACTTGCTTTTGCTTTCAATTTCTTGAAAAGACACCTTACTGATTTAATTGATTTGTATTCGAAGAAAAATTTTTAAAACGAAAGTTAATATATATTTACAAATCTAACCAATACGTTTATTATATTTATACTTAGAAACAAAATAAAAACGACACAAAAATATATAAATAATAGAGCTCATGGATGATCTCTAGATAAAATAATAAAACAAATAGAAGTATGTAACACAAAAAAAACAACAACATTGAGCTCTTCTTCACAGTTTAACAATAGATCATTAGAAAAAGAAACGCAATACTAAATATATGATAAGACGAAGAAGGACGAACATATAGTCGTTTTTTTTTCTTCTTGTTCATACCTACTTCTATAGCTACTGGTAATAAGATAGAATAAATTTCTGTCAAAACTGAAATTCTCCTTCGTCACGCTGTTCAGTTGTCATTGTATGAGCAGCAGATTGACTCCACCATATGTTTACTTTGCTGAATAAATATATGAAGAGTAAATTAAAAATTACCAAAATTATAAGACACATTTGAAGAGACGTTGGTGAAAAAAGTGTACTGCTACTAGTTGATTTATTTAGTGATAAATCCAAGTCACAGGTCGATCTTGTCTAAATATAAACAGTTGTTTTTTTTTATTCATGAAAACAATAAATATTACTACTAACACATACTTTTTTTTGTGTATTGTTTGTCCATGATCTTGATAGTGTTTGAAGTTGTTCATCTGTTGCACGCATCTTTTCTAATAATCGATCATAACGTTGAAGTGTATTATCATGTTCTTGCCGATGTTGATGTATTATATCAGGTAATGACGATATAAAATTTTTCTCTTTCTTTTGTTCATATTGACTATTCTGCGAAGTAGGTGTTATTGGTGTTAGAGAACAATTTGTTATAGAAGACGATTCATATGAATCTATTGATGAAGGAGGAAAAGATTGACGAAAATGCTGAGGTATCTCAGATAAACGGGACGACCGATAACGAACAGAAACTGGAATCATTGACGATGAACTTCGAAGACATGGACTACTCGATGAATTTGCTGTTAATAGAGATGAAGTTTTATTTGGTGGTAATTCAGTTCTAGAACAAAAAATATAATTTATATTTTGCCATTGAAATATTTTCTCAATATTTCGAGAATATTAAATTTATATTTACTTTTTCGTCGGTGACTTAAGAACTTTATTTCTTCCTTGATGAATATATTCTCTAACAGGTGACCACGATACATGTTGTCTCCTGTTCCATTCTCCAGTCGATGGCTGATTGTATTGATTTGAAAAAGTATACCAAACACTTGCTCTTGATTCTTGACCAAGTCTTTGTTCTGAAAGTGATCTTGATCGATTTTTTTTATTGATATCCGGATGGATATAAGTGCTTCCTCTATACGGTTTAACATAGTATTGAAGTCGAGCTGGACGACGAGTGTTTGGCACAACTTGGTTTGATAATGATGTGTCAAAGATATTAATTGTTGGTTCAAAAAGTGAACGAATGGGAGGAAGTGTTTGAGACAATGTTTGTTTAGCCGTTGCTTCAGCCAAATGTTGAATTTCATTGGAATCAGAGCGAGTAGAAAGACTTTTTTTCTTATTCAAAGTAGGCGGAGAAGTTGAACGAGGATCTGAAGTTTGATCGAATTTTGTTGTTAGAATTCTTTCTTTCTTTTGAGACTTCTTAAGGATTGATTTACCGGGTGAAGTACAACAAATTTGATCAAGAAGATCAGGAATTTTATTATAGTTGCCGTTTTTAATTTCATTTGGCTTTTGTGATGTATCTTTTTCTTGCTAAAAATATTTGATTTTATAACAAAAAAATTGAAATATTATTTACTTCAAATGCAACAACATATTCTTCTTCAAGGCTATCTCGTTCACTTGGTGTTCTTGATAAAATTTTATTCGATCCTTGATTATTCTCTTCATCTTTCAATTGAAACTGATTTTGATAAAAATGTTTAGTAACTTGATCCTCAGTTGAATTAACTTGAAAACACGGTTCAGTTTTAATAACTGTTGTTTGTATCGATGGTGTAACTTGTTCATCATCAAATTTAACACGTATACCACGTCGATTAGAAGCAAATTGTTTTTCGAGCTCCTCAAATTGACGTATTTCTTCGTGAGCTCGTCGTTCTTCTTCGACAAAACTCGTATCCATACTTGAACTACTCATTGGAGACGTTGTAATCTTATTGAGAAAATTTTCAAAAGCAAAATATTGAATGTTTGCTCTTTTGTAAATATTTTACCTCATCATCTTGTTGTTCAGCAATAGGTTCGAGTATAGCCGCATCGCCATAATATGTATGTTCTTCGTCATCTTCCATTGTTCGTCAAACCGCAAATGATTGATAGAAACTTTCAAAAAATCACTTGATACGAAGAAGAAACAGCTGTTACGTTTCTTTTTCTTTCTCAATCATTGGTGGACATAGAGACATCGATAACTTTTCTTCCGCATTATATTCTATTGTAGATATTATTTAGAGGTCTCATGTGTCACATATGTTGTCTATTCTTTTCATCGATTGAGATCGATTTAAAAAATATGAATGTTGCTTCAGAATAACATATTCGACTATAAACACAATTCAATGTGAAGCAAATAAGTAGACAAAAAAAGCATGCTTCGATGAAAAAAAAGACCATATAATGCGATATAACCAAATATCTATTGTAAATAAGTTACGATGCCATAAAATGACGTGAAACGAATAACTTAATACATCTAGTTGAAGAAGATTTCCCAATCGTGAGTTTATAGAAATTAAAATCGATGTATTTAGTCTCATTGTATACAGTACTTGATTTATTTTTAGAAATCTCAAATATACTTAATTAAAATGCGATTACCATCCAAAATTCGAGATTATGATATAAATATATAGATCAAATAAACCTAATGAATAAAGTTCATTCTAGTGCAAGCTTGTTTTCCTCTCCAAACTAGAGTTCTGCAGGGTGCATATAACCTGGCCTGCCCTGTCCTGCCCTGACAGGGCAGGGCAGGTTACAGGTTGTCCGTATTGTAACCTGTTAACCTGAGATTAATTTTGAACAACCGACATTTCCGGTATCTTTTAAAAAAATTATGCATGAAGAAACACGAATTTACCGAGACTTAAAGCACTCCTAATATAAAAAATGATCGGCTATGATAGATTGCAGCTAGTTTTGTTTATTCGATATTTTTCTATTAGAAATCTTGAAGAAATTAAGCGTTATTTTTATCCGCTTCAAATTTGAAGTGCATATAATTAAATGTATTATAAATACTGATAGGAAATTTTGGATATTCCTCTATTTTAAAAATCGCAGGGTAGGGCAGGTTACAGATTACAATAGAAAGTGTTAGGGCAGGGTACGCAAAGATATTCACAGGGCAGGGCAGAATCATGTTACAAAAAAATTTACAGGGCAGGTTACAGGTTATAAAAATCCTGCACCCTGCAGCCCTCTACTCCAAACTGGCCTAAAAGAAATTTTTTGGAAAACATTGGAGTTTTACATTTTCGTATTTATTCTTTATTTCCTCGGAAATATACAGATATATTACTTTCCAATGCTTGAAAAATGCAAAAATAAATCACGAGGAGACAAAATTCGAGAGATAAAATTATATCGTCAATTAGTGAACATTGCCGAATTGCTTTAGAATTCTGTCTTTGAATATCAATAAAAGAAAACACGTTTCCAAAAGGTTTGAACTAAATGCATAGCAAGAACAAGAAAACATTCTCGGCTTCCGTCGATAGTTTATTCAATGTTAACTGATACGTTGAATCGGTTAAAAACCGAGTCAGATCAGTTAATTCCTGTATACAATCTTGTTTACTTGAATTATTTACATTGCAATTTCATGAAACTTTCAGAACATCTTTTCTCGTTGTCTCTTATCAGCAAACAATATGCGAATATGACTCGTTACATTGAGTAACACTTTTCAATCTTACAAAGCTCGACGTCAAGTGTTGACGTTCTTCTAATAGAGATTGTATTGATTACCTTTGTCTATTTTCAGTACAACAAGTAAAAATACAAAATACTATCTATATGACGATAAATCAACAATTAAGGCAACAACAATAATACTTTGTTTCTATATTTGATGGATACGGTCGTTTTTTGTGATGTTCACCTGAGACGCAAGCCTGACCTGACGATCTACAGACGCCTATCAGACTGCCAAGTCAGGTCAAACTAAACTATTTAGTCTGATCAAATTTTACTTGAATGATCATCTTATTCCAATTGAAACATTAGATGCTGCTATTAGTCAAGTTTGATGATTGAAAAGTAAAAAGAAAGAAAGACTATTAAACGCAGTCTATCTCCTTCTTCGACGAAAAGCTGATAAGTTAAGTTCAAAACAACAATAATTTCATTTTAGCGTAGACTAGTTTTTCAATATGGATGAATACCTTATTAATTTAAGTTTGATCCGTGGTAAAGATCGCACATCATCGTTAGTCACGTATATTATCATCAACTTTTATTACAATAGTTCAAAATAAATGATCGTTATCTTCTGCTATGTCATATATTTCTAAATTAGCGAGTACACGTATGAAGATTTCATTATCAATTAAATCTTTCACAAGCACCCTGAACTTATCAAGGTTTTCTCCTTCTCAATCATCTAATACAAGTGAAAGAATAAAATTTTTATTTAACAGAAAAAATGTAAGTCTTATGTAATTAGTTTTATAATTGTTGGCTTCAATTTGTTTGCTTCTTGTAATACATTACTTTTTCTTTAATTGTGTATCAGTCTTGATATGAAAATTTTTGTTAATGGAATTCTTTCTTTCTTTCTTTCTATGAAGTATTCGCTTCTAACTTAGATGATTGTTATTTTTTAGGTGGTGCGTGGGCTTTCCCCCTCCCCCACCGCCAATATTCAAACAATTATCTTGCTTTGTATTTCATCAAATGAAATTTATACTCTGTTAAATACAATTTTATAAGTTACCCTTACTGTTGTCAGATGTCAAACTAGAAAATCTAGAATTCAAATCTCAAAATCCTGTAAATCTCCGGAAAATGTCGAAATAATCTTGCAGAAATCTGAAAAAAAGTTCCTGAAAATCCAGAAAGAAGCCCACAAATATGTCGAAAAAACTTCAAAATTCGGATGACCAGGCAAGACTAGCTACCCCTTACCCCCAATATTTTTGGAAAATAGAATTTTATAAGGTACTCCCTCCCTCCACACCAATTTTTGGTTGCTTGCGACACCCCTAATAATGGTATTGATATAAAAGAAAAATATGCAGGTCTTTCCATGCAGACCAGGCCAAACAAATCAGTTGGCAGGCACAGGCAAGCTTGAAATTCAGAGACCTGCCGCAAGCCAGCCAGGCCTACAAAAATGCAGCCTCGTTGAACCTCTGCTCAGAAGCATATTTTCTTGTCTTGTAAACATCTGATGTAAATCTCCTTTATACAGAAACTCGCTAATTTGTTTAAGTCCTTCGATTCATTTCTGAATTAATATTCTATGAAATCAACAAAAGAAATTTTGTTTTAAATCAAAAAGTAGATTTGAACTTGTTGATTTTTCATCATGAAAATCTTAAGTCTTCATATTTCTCTTTTATAATACTTAAAATATCATAGATATTAGAACTAGTCTTGTCTATTACGGACGCATAGTAGAGACTAACCCCACCCAATAATTGAATACCTAATAGACTCTGTGAAATTTCCTACTGCTTTCTAACGGAACTTGTAAATTTTACAGATATTTCTGACAGAGACGCGCAGTTTTCAAGTGTTAATTACCAGTTTTTTGACAGAAAATTATAATCTATTGAGAAAATATCTTTGGAAATCTGTAAATTTAACATTTGACGTTCAGTTTCTGCCGAACTATAAGATGAAGCATTTTCTGCCAAATGTTTAGCCCCTCCCATTCTTCAAAACAGTCGACAGTCCTGATTAGAACTTGAGAGCAATTCTTTTACTTATATTTTGACTAAATTTGTGTATATTCATATTTTTAATCGACTTGCTTGTGTTTTTACTTATGATAATATATATATAAACACAGTAGTAGTTGACTCAATTAAAGAAATCAAAAAGAAAGACAAAACCTAATGATTTGGGTACAATAAAAAGCGAAATAGTATTGACATTTGTTTGATGATGATCATCTTGGCTAACACCCGTCGACACTTGCCAGCGATATTTCCTTTGTTTCGTCTTTCTTTTTTCTCTCTATTAGAAATAAAGATCATCATCAGTATCACACGTCAGAGTACTTGTATTCTCGTAAGAACAGATTCATACATAAATATACTGAAAAAAAGACAGATAGAGTCGATATTATGGCAGATCAACTTCTATTGTCAGACAATACCGATGATGATCAAGCACAAGGTGATGGATCATCGTCTTCAGTTTTGTCGGATGATGAAAATTCTCAGACATTGACAAAATCATTTACATCTTTTTTATCCAATGAAGATATCCATAATTGTCTTTATGCAACAAATATCAATTGGAGACGAAGATTTTCAGTAAGTTTATTCCTTTTTTAGAATAAAGAAAAACAAGAGAATTAAGATGATTGTTTGGAGTATCTCTATAAAGACACGTGTGTATGGAAAGCTGCAAATTGCTATTGGTACTCATTAATCATAATCGATTTTAGATATATATCTATTCTTTGACTCATTTCTACTCTAGGCTAAGTATATACGTTAATTGACAGAAAAATAAGACGCAAAATATTTTCTTTCTTCTCATTCCCACTCATTGTTATCTGTCTTTCTTCTTAATACGAATAATAATTATTATTATGGTTATTATGATTATTATATGATTTTTTAAAATAATATATATGATATGCTTGTTACGTTTCATCAATTATATTTAGTTTATATTGATCTATATATATGTAAAAAGAAAAGCAGTAAGTCTATTTTTATTTTCTATAGCAATTACTATGATTTAAATATGTGACATCAAATTTGATTGATTTCGTGTTTTTACTCGAGGGAAGTATCGAATAGTATGTGTTTGTATGTGTGCTTATGTATTTTTCTTTCTGAAGTAATTTTTGTCGGTAACAACAAGCTTTGATGATGCTGACGACCCTGAGGAAGAGCAAAACAAAAGAGCACACCGCTGCTACTGGCGATTATGTGTTTCCTGTCTTAGCTCATCATTCACAGATATACATAAGACGACGAACAGATTTTTGGAGAAAAAGAAAAAAGAAAAAGAAAAAGAAACAGAAAAGAGAACAAGAAGAAAAGGAAGAGTCTCTTACTAAATGGCAATAACAGTACAGTGATGCTATATCCTTTCCTATCAATCGACAATTTTTTGACAATGCTTCAGGCTAAGCTATCAGGCCGAGCAGCTCGGCATATGTATCGACATTTGGTAATCTATGATGATACAGAACGAATAACGAGAAAACTCTTGTCTTTCTTTTCTTTTGGTTAATCTCATATTGATTGTAACGATGAGGTTTCTCTCTTGTATATCTATGTGTTGATGTAACAACAGGCAGCGTAATTATTCGTATATACTACCTCTTTCTGTCTTTCTGTCTCTCTCTCTCTCTCTCTCTTCCTTTTTCTTCCGAGTAAGATTCAAAATCAACACAATCTTCGTGCATTAATTTGTACAGGTACTGATCATTTTAAAAATGAAAAAAAAGAAAAGAAAAAAGATTTCTTGTTATTTTTATTCAAATCAATTGATGATTCCATATTTTATTTAAAGATTCATTTGTCTAATGGTCAATCAACTAATTCATCATATGATCGACGTGAAAGAGTATATTCGGATAGTTCTACTGGTCATATAAATTTCAATCGAACAAATTCATTCTATCTTTCACGTTATCGTAATTCGCGTTGGTTTCGTTGTCGAACAACATCATCATCATCATCATTTAATGAATACAATTCATCGAATTTAAAGGATAAAATTTCATTATCAAATTCTACCACGGCTTATGCTCGTTTGAAACATTTTACTGAACGATTACTTGAATTGGAACGTAAAGCACGTCAAACTGCTTTTGAAAATAAATGTGATCAAAAACTTTCATCAAAAACGGATAAATCAACTGGAAAAGTTGATCGATCGTTTAAAACAAACGACGATCTAATATCTTCGAATGTTAATCAACGATATTTGGAAAAAAAATCTTTTCATTTACCAGTACAAAATCTATTTAAGACAAAGTAAAAGAAAAATTTGATTGAATCATTTTTTTTCTCAAATACATATTACTCCTGTTAAATTTATTTTAGTTCGAATATCAAATTCCGTCGTGTTCAAAGTTATCCCCAACTGAGAAAAAAATCATCGAATCATTTTCCATTACGTAAAATAAAAACAATGTCTGCAATTCAACTATTAAAAATGGAATCTCAATCTCATCCTTCAACTCATTTTCCATTTCCAGTAACAACTGGAAATGTTTTTCAAGCAAAATTAACTCCAGTCGCTAAAGAAAAACAAATTTCATTTGAAGTTAAAACAAATAGTTATAATAGAAAAGTCGAAGTTAAAACAAAACAAGAAGAAATGATATGTACAACAAAAAAATGTCTATCACCTCTATCGCCATCCATAGTCACTCGTGTAATTAGAACTGAAACACCATTTTTACCACAACGTGCTAGTGTAAATCAACAAAGACGATCGTCAAGTATATTCATTTGCTTTTTCATTTGTTTCTAATGAATATAAAATTTCATATAACTTTAATATTCATAGTTTCCAATAGTTCTGTACAAAGTGTTCGTGTCAGTGTAAGTTCAACAGATCATGAAAACGATTTGGCCAAAGCAGTAAAAACACAGTTGTCCTTTCCATCTTCTTCAAAGATGATTCCGAATGAAGGAAATACATCAAACGATGATTCTTATTCATCAATTATATCAAATTTCGTCTCGGAAAATCTTGTTGAATCATCAAAAATCGATGAAGACGAAACATTTGATCGTCGACCTCTACTTGATCTTATTAGTGAATTAAATCGACGTCATACATTAAATCAATCGTCAACGATTCCTCCTCTTGATAGTGATCAATCAATTAAAGCAAGAACATTTTCACCAACACCAACAGATATTCGACCACCGAAACCATTAAGTCCCTTTAGACCAGTTATTGTTCATAGGAAATATCAAGTAAATTAGATATTATTTTGATTGATCGTTTTTTTTCTAAAATAGTTAAAATTTAGGAACCCATAGGTCGTTTTGAATTTGTTGATTCTGGTGACGATGCAGCTGCATCATCAAATTCAACATTTAGTCGACGTAATAGTCGAATTTCAGTGACACGTAGTCATACATTCAATAATCCAAATAATGTTAATTCAAATTCAACGAAAATATCTTCCGATGAAATAAAATCACATGATAATGTAACATGTCAATCAACGCCTGAATTAAGTTGTTCGAATGAAAGAGAAAGAGAAAGAGGAATAAACCAGTCTGTAGTCAATATAGAAGAATCTTGTGGAATGTCAACAAACGGTACTATCCTAACTAGTACATCACTCACAGGGTTGACTCCTACGTCTAGTGCAACGATCGACGACAAGAACGAGGTATGCACATGTTCTTTTCTTTTTCCCTATTGCTTTATCAAGACGTACCGCCAGAAGAAATTATCAGATAAACGATAGGAATGGCTTCGCCTTCGCCTTCGCCTTCGCCTTCGCATCTTTTTTTCTTCTTTCATCTTATATCCATCTTATGAGTCTATCTAACGACAACACAACAAACATATAATATTTATATATGGAATGTCAAATGTGATCCATCTAATGTCGGATCAAAAGACAACACATTCACCTTCTATATTCCGCGCATCAACGCCTATTCCTAATGATCAATCATTACTTTCAAAATTCACATTGTATGCCGTTAGACGTCATCATTCGGCACCACAACAAGAATGTCGTTGGCAAGAGGTTTTTCTCGTTCATAGACTGTTTTTCACTTTGTTGAATTATAATTACAAGTTAATATTTTAATTTTTTATATATTTTAGGCTAAACGAAAAGCAATTGCTATGCAAATGTATGACACAGAAAAATCTTATGTTGAAGCACTTAAAAATCTTGTTACGGTAAATATTTGAAAATTTTTCTTGTGATTCTTTAGGAAAATGTTCGAATAAACATTAATATCGTAAAATATGAAATCTTCTTAATTATTTACATTCGTTTTAGAAATATTATTTACCGATGAAAGATAAAGCAGTTATTTCTAATGATCTTGTTAATGATATTTTTTATAAAATACCAGAAATTCATATTCATCATACGGTATATTTGCTTTTTTTGTTATTCATCTTTTGTTTCTTTTCCTGTTTAATTAACGAATATTTTTTTAGGCATTTCTTATTACACTTTCACAGAAACTATCTGAATGGGATAATAAACAAACCGTGGGTGATCTTCTATTACAAATGGTAAATATAATTTGAATAAAACTTTATTTCTTTTCTAACTTATTTCAAATAGTTTACTCGTACATCTGTTATTGAAACTTATACAAGTTTTGTTAATAACTATAAAACAGCTCAAATCGCTATTCGTCTGTGTCGTGATTCATCATCGTTTAATAAATTTCTTGAACATCAGGCACGTGATCATCGTGGAAAATTAACATTAAGAGATTTAATAATTCAACCGGTGCAACGTATTCCAAGATATGAATTATATATAAAAGATTTTCTTAAATGTACAAACTTAAATCATCCAGATTATCAATTATTGCTTAAAGCACAATCTGAAATCCATTCATTAGCGGAACAAATAGATCAAGTACAGAAAGATGTTGGTTCAACTGAGTTAACAGTTACAAATAATTCATTAGAAGCTGTTCAAGATATGATTGAAAATTTAAATGATGTTAGTCACAAGTCGTTTTTCTTTTGGTAAAACTATAGCGATTATTTCAATTGTACTTTTAGTTAGCCAATGCTGACCGTTATTATATTCGTCATGATGTTGTTACACTTCAATCGCCATCGGGATTAAAAAAAGATCGATACGTCTTTTTATTTAATGATTTACTTATTATAACAAGTTGTAAACGACGAAGTGGAACTTTAACTAAAAAGCCAACTACTTCAGTTATTGTGTATGTTTATTTTAGTTTGCTTTTATTTAAGAAAATACGAATGCTTTCTTTTTAAAGAAATTCTCCATCCGGAAAACAATATATTGATAATGCAAAGCATAAATTAATTATGAAAATCTCATTGGAAAGTATTGATTTAGCTGCAGGTAAATTTCCGAAAACATGCATCAAATAAATTTCTCATTGAATCGACCAAAAGTAGAGTCTATTAAAAATAAACACGGTTTTAAAAAGCATTCATAATTATCGATAGATACAAACACATGACGTTTCATTGGTGGTATTTTATTAAGCGTCTCTTCTTATTGTTGGATGTTGTTTCGTTTTATTTTAGAAGACTCTTCTTCTAAGATTTCAATGAATCATAGAATCGCTTTTGGTTTTACCTGATTATTCACTTCTGTATCTCTAAAACGGGCTAGTTGGACCTTTTAAATTCGCTTTATTGATGATGCTAGAAGTTTTCTTTTCTTTTTTCAATTTCTGAATCATTATTATTGCTGTTGACAGTTTTATGTTGGATGCTAAAATTATAGATACATATTTTATTGTCTATGTATGAAACTATCTGTAGTGTCATTAGCGATGGTTCTGCATTGTTTCAAGTAGTGCACTAGATGATACTTTGTTAGAAATAAACTGAATATTATCCTAGAAAAATCTGACTTGACCTGTAAATTTATAGATAACATACATGATGTTTAGATAATTCTGAAGCTTCAATTCTGAATTAATGTTTTCTTCTCAAAATTTTGTATTTTGACAAATTTTAAAAGAATATCTAGACCAAATAAATTCATGAGTAGAATAACTTTTAACCATGGGAATTTCTTTGGTTGTTATAAAATGTGCGCATAATTAAAATTTCTGTTATGCACGGTCGATTGTGAACTTTCTCCACGAAGAAATATGCTAACAATCAGATTGACAATATATTATTCGGAAAAATTGATACATGAATTAAAAGTTGGCTGTTCTGACGTCTAATGTTAATTTATGATTCAGTTGATGACAATAAAATAAAACATTTCGACATTGTTCTCATTAAAAACTTCATAATAGTGCAAAAAAACATGTGCTATCGTTTTATCTATCTTAGTTTCTTTTTTTCTAACAGATCATTTGAAAAAAAGAGGAACACCACCATCAATGATGAAATTTCATTCGACTACAAGTAATAGTGGAGATAAATGTCGACATTTAGAAGATGATGTTGCTACTCTTGGACAAATGACCGATTTGGCTAAAACAATAACTGTGCCTCATCAAGTAAATACCTTTCGTTTCTCAACAAATGTTAATTAATTTCAATTTCAACTTCCTTTTTATTTTTGTTCCAGCAATTAGATGAGTCAATAAAAGAAGTTCTTCATACAGTTAATAAACATATAACAGATGAAACAGTATCGATGACAAGTGTTAGAACAGCAAGTCCTGAACCAATAATTCCTGTTGATCATAATCAACAAAAATCAAATAATATTCAATTAACAATTCATACAGCGTATTTAAATAAAATCAGTTTTTGATCATTTATATTTCTTATCTTTCTTTTTTTTTGTTCTATTTTATATTCAGTGAGCGTATCGAAACAATAGATGTTTTATTTTCATCGCCTGAACTTAAAGCAACATGGGCAAAGAGTTTTCTTGAAGCGAAGAAAGCTCTTTGTAAGATTATTATTATTATTATTATTTATCAACTTAAACATAATTCTTTTGTTTTCTTTTTATCAGTTGAAGTTGCTGCTGGACGAAGGAATATTAGTTTTCAAAATGTACTTACTCTTCCACATAGTCGACCTGGGAGTCAAGTCTGTTCTTACTAATAAATAGAAATAGTTTGCTTTAAAATTAAAGTTTTCTTCATCATTTAGTTTTCCTGTGGTACCGCTCGTTTATCATTAGGTGATATTTGTATTTGTAACTCAGAAGGTCAAGTATGTTTAGTTAATGTTCAGTCTGATGTAACACTAAAAGCATGCAATACAGTTATATCATCGCGCATCAATTGTGTTGCTTATGTTCCATCACATAAAGGTCGAAGAACCGGTAGTAGTAGTAAACATCATCAGCATCAAAATATAAAAAAACAAGAAGAAGACGAGCAGCAAAAGCATAAACATGGTTTTACTGTTAAACAAGAGCCTATTTCAATATCAAATGATACTGATGTTCAAACAACAATTGATTCTTTACTTGACATTGATTCAAGTGATGATGAAGATACATTAACTGCAATTAATCATGAAGATATTTTTTCCTTGAATCAATCAGATCAAACAATATTATCCCAACAATGTCTTCTATTAGAAAGTGATATTAATAATGAACAACAAGATACAACAGAAGCTACTATGTGGTTGGGAACCGATGATGGAGTGTAAAGTCAACATTTATATTTACTAATTAATCTCTTTTTGAATTGTCTCTTAGAATACTAATATTTCGATGTACAGAAACAATGAAAACAGTTGCGCGTAAAAGTCGTATTGTAAAACAAATGGGTTCTGCAATTCATTCCATCTTGTGAGTTTATATACATATGAATATTTGATGAAAATCATTTCATTTCAATAGATATACTGACAATAAAGTATTTGTTGCATTAAGTCATGGTGAATTAGGCGTTTTTCGGCGAGATATGAGTAATTCAATTCTCTTAAAAGTTATTTTGATACTAAATAGATAGTTGGCTTTTCTTTTGTTTTAGGTGGTCGTTGGGATTTAGATTGTCCAACTATTCGGTCAGTCGAAGAAAGTTCTATTCGACATGGAACTAGTGGACACAATGAAATCGATGATGGAGATAATACTGATCCAATATCTGTTATGACATTAGCTGCTGGAAGATTATGGTGTGCCATACGAGATCGAATATATGTTGTTTGCCCGAATTCTTTAAATGTTGAGGTACAATGTTTTTTCTTTTTTAAGAAAACTTGGGAAAATAATAATAAATATTTTAGCATTCATTTCTTGTCGATGATTGTCATCGTCATGTATGCAGCATAGCCACAGGTGGCTCATTAATGCATCACGTATGGATAGCATCACAAGGTTCACATGAAATTCGTTTATATCATGCAACACATTTTGTTTGTTTACTTGAAACAAGTATAAGAACGGCAGTTACACAAAAACTACAAGGTAGCATTTATTTTAAAGACAATAAAATTAACTCATTTTATGTTTTCTTTGTTAATGTTTAGCGTGCGATGATATAATTCGAGCTCATAAATTAGGTTGTTTACGTGTAAGTGCACTTCATGTTTGTAAGGAAACATTATGGGTTGGAACAAGTGCTGGTGTTTTGATAAATATATCCGTGCCGCAATTAATTGATTCTGGAAGTAATAAATTAATAGCAAGTTCACTTCAATTAAAAGCTTTATCGTTTGGTCATGCTGGACCTGTTCGGTTTATCATATCAACTGATACAACTTTTGCTTCAACATCAGAAGATTCAACAGGTGTTAAAACACTTGTACTCAGTATTGGAGATGGTTTTGAAGACTATACAAATAATGATGAAACCTTGGGTAAAGATGACGCTCTTTCTCATGTGATAGTTTGGCAACTATGAAAGGCTATTCTTGCAAATAGAAAGACATTCTGCTGCTGGTCAGCTTTGGTCGAAGGTTCTTTTTTAAATTGTATTTTGCGTTTGTGTGTGCTTTGTTTTTATTTCAGTAAAAATTCCCTTAAAATGATTATTGTTTTTATTTGAATTAAAAAATCAAGATGCAAAACGTTAACATTTGCCTTTAAAAATTAGTATAGAAACTCTGTCTATATCGAGAATAATGCGTTTTTCATTTTCTGAAGCAATTGAAAGTGCATAATCTTTGCCAAGGATACATTGCCACGATGAACTATGTAAACTTTCGAATTGATAACGAATATATTGTGCAACGGATGAACGAGATTTTGCTGAATAGCCATGAAATTTCACAAATGCTTGTTTTGTAATACGTATCGCATCTTGTTTCATTGATTCAGTCATATTATTTACTCGAACGATCACATTTGGCTGATTAATAGTACCTCCTTCAGTCAATATCCCTGATAACCATAAGAATAATATTAATAAAAAACAATTTCGTGCCATCTTTGAAATGAAAATGAAATTTGTTAAAATAGAAACAGTCTTATCGTCCTATTATTTTATCTAGATTATATTACATTATTTACTTTTTATCAAAATAACGAGAAAAAAGCACTTACAAATAAAGATTAAAAAAAATCATGGTTTGACTATTGGAATTATTATATCACCGAAAGATTTTACAACATTATAGGCGAGCGTAATGCGGTTTAGCTTTAATTAATAAGCTAGGGAGTGAGAACTAACAGTTCACTCATGTTTTCTATTGTTGCTAAGAAAATAGCAATGATCTATTTAATAAAGATTAAGCATACAGCGGAAAAAAGAGTGATGCATGTTCAGTAATGGGTCATAGTAAAATGCAAATACGGAAGACCGCTAGGTAAAACTTGAGATATGTCTCTTGATTTTTTTCTATTATTTGCAGATAGTTTTAAGTGTTATCACAGTGATCTTTTTCATCTGCTCACATTTTATATAAAAGTTCACTTTTCATGAATAATATTATCAAGTTGAATAAAGGTAGAAGCAGAGAGTGATTTGAAATCTCAAACAAACTCAAGATAAATTTAGAGAGAGATTTTTACATATCTGTTGCAATGAGAAAATGTTTGTTTACAAAAACTACTGATTCAAAAAGACGCTGATATTTCATCTTCGAAGAATTGAATACATAATAAAAATATTCAACGATAATTTAATCTACTTAATAGAATATTTAAAGATATAGCCATCGATACAAAATAATTCTGTGATAGATTCGAGTTAGTGTTAGAAGGACATAAGCAAGTATGAAAATGGAAACGGATGTTACAATGATTGTGACTTTGTGAACCTTAAAAGAAGATTCACGCTACAGTTGTCCGCAAATAAGGGTAACCCTGTTGTATCCTGAACCAAAATAGAGTAAGAAAGCGTTTGTTGGCCTGCCCTGCAATAGAATATGATATTGTGAAGAGGACACGATAAATTCTTGATACCCTGAAAAATGGTACATTAGATCTATGAATTTTTATCTTAAAAAGCAATATTTTTTGAATCTTCAAGAGTCAAAAATCAAATTTGATTGTATAATATGATGCACAATAATATTCAGAGTCTTTCTCTATCAATCTATACATGTCTAAACCAATATCCTACAGTTAATAAATATATCAAGTAGCTATTGAAACGTTATATTTATATCTGTCGTTCTGACATTTATACCCTATTAAACGTAAAGATGAAGTGGTGCAATACGCAGAATGCATGATTCTAATAATGATATTAAATTTGAAGTTGATTTAAATCTGTCAAATATATGTGTTTACTTCAATGTTCTTTTATTTTGTAATTATATATGAATTGATTAAACTTAAACGATTTTTCAAATTTTAAAAATGTGTTTTAATCAGTCAAATGTTCTGGTAATGAAAGATAATGAACACTTTGATCTTTTTCAATGCAATCAATATGTTGATCACTTTTAGCCTTGTCTGAAACAAGAATGAGCTGATTTTTGCCTCGCCAAGCCACTCCTTCAATATTGCAATATTTAACTTGGCAATTGGATCCTATTTGAGTAGCACGCGGTAGATCGTACACCGTTGTCTTATGCAGTGAAGATGCATCAAAGAAAGGTGCTTGATCTAATTCTTCAATGAGACCAATCCACAATTGACTATTTTCTTGGCTTGTCACAGCTACATACGTTGGCAATTCATATGATTCTTGATGGTAAATAGATATAGCCGAATAGTCATTAAAATGAACAGATGATGGCAAATCAAACGTACTCACAGGTTCCCAAGAGCACGATTCTCAAAAAAGAAAAGAAAATAGTTCAGTCATTTTTAGAAAAATATCACTTACTTTTAGTAGTCGCTTTTTGCTTTTCTAGAACCACGATACGTCCGTCATTAATAGAAGTCGATTTGTGATCGCATTTGTTAGCTTCACATAATCCAAGCAGATATGCTTTACCGGAACTTCGATGAAAAGCAAATTCAAGACCCTCAAAACCCTTATTTTCAGATCCAAATTCCCAATTCACCATACAAGACTCGACTATACGAACAGGCGATGAAGCTTTTGTATTAATATGAATTTCAAAAACGTTTGCTTTGAACACTTTCTTGACATCTGTTTCTATGGATTCTTGTATAACGAAATGGTTGCCATTCGTAGGATTATAAGTCATTCCTTCAAAGCCTGACTTCTTTCTGTTTAACGATGAATCAGGCCAATCTAGTAATTGATCAGTACAGTTGAATGATCGCCCCAACGCGGTACATATTGCACCTATTTGATACGTGTTGTCGAATACAACATACATGACATGACCATCACGACTAAGCACAATGTCGGATGCTTCGAAGCGGTTAGGAGACTTTTCTACTTCGTTGTATCTAAATACACATTTCAAAACAACTAATTCTATTAAATTCAAAGATGAACAGTGAAATGAAGACTTGAACATTTATCATGGCAAAAACATTTAAAATATAATTAACTCTGATAACTGTAAGATAGGACGTGTTTTAATTTTGTACCACATTTTTCAAAGCGTACCCTCTAGTGCATGCATACAGTAAAAGGAATCTGAAAAATGAATCTACTACTATTATTTCATAGAAACTATTATGTAATTATATGGTAGTTCAGTAGGTATTCTGTTACCAAAATATCTAACAAATGAGTAGTTGATAAGGCTACTTCGATACTGGCTTGGATACTGAGATACATTACTTGAAATAGCTCTTTTGAGAATATTCCAATATGTTTGTACTTGAGCTTTTTTTGCTGATTTTTTTTCAATATAGTTCTTTTCTACTCTATTACTTTTTAAAATATGAATTAGACACGTTTTTTATTACATTTTTCATTGCATCAAGAAAAGTTATTAGTGCAATCCCTGTGGGACTAAAATATGAAATACAACAGTCTGTATAATGGATTTTTATGGGTAGCGTCAGATAGCTCATCTGTCACGGTTGGAAAAGAAGGAAATGGAAATTTCTACCTTATATACTTCAATAGCTCTGTCCGATCACGTTTCACAAAGTCACTACTTTCTTTTGTTTATCAAGTTAATAGGAAAAAATGAATAACACGGTAGAAATGTTGAAGTTATGATTTAGAAGTAAAGATCAAACGAAAAAAGAACAACACTAACGTATATATGAAAATGAACAGGAGTATTTTAAAGGCGGACTTTGCATTAATTGTATTACAATCAGTTTATAAGAACAACTACAGAAGAATTCAGTAAAATATTTGAAAGAGAAACGCTTCAACCTAGCATTTTTAGTAATTATTTCTTCGATTTTACCCTACTAATATTATTGTGACAGTTGGCATTACACAAAAGTATCACTGCAAACGAAAATGGGTAAATTGTATTTATTTTCTTCTTGTAAAGAATATGCTGTACTAATTTTCATAGATAAATTTTTAAAATTCTACATTTTTTTCAATGTAAAAAAATCAATGAATACAGCATTTCATAAAGTTTCAATCGTGACAGAATGATCATATTTATTTTTTAAAGGTACAATTACTATGATTTAAGAATAATCAGTTCATTTTGTTTGGTTCCAGATGCAAAGTGTGTAAACGTTTAACAAAGTAATAACAGATTAAATGTACCCAAGTGATTTGAAATATATATACGAATCAATCTTTACCATAGGGTATGAAGGTGTTTGCTTTCATAAGATGCGTTAGACAGATGAAATATGAAAGAATCGTACTCTAATGTAGTTTCTGCAATAAACTAGTTTCTTTAGGTACTCATACAGGTACTCGTTTGGTACATAGACTGATGTGGATACTAAACAAAGTATCTAATTCAGTGTAAATCACGAGAATTTTCAAAGTATCTGTATCGAAGAATTTGCTGGGACTTTTTCACTTAATAGGTAATATGCAATTACTGTTTTCTCCAAACTATGATCCTATTATGTTCACTGGATGACTAGGGTATTTTATATTCATTCGACTCAAATATACTTTGTTACAATGTTGTCTACTAAAATTTTAGTTGTCAAGAAAAATTAATATCACGATAGTTCTCAAACTATCATTCATTCTTTATAAAAAAAAATGCAATTTTTCTACCAAGTGCGAACTGCTATGTTTAAATTATGCCTGTAATACATTATTAATTGAATTCAATATTTTGACAACGAAAAAATACTTACGCAGATGAATCAAAGAAAGAACGAGCTATTGTTTGTTCTTCGACCAGCTTCAGCGTAGTTTTTTGATAGTCATCAGCCAGGCAAGGATTGGCTGCAGCTGCTTGTTCATTCATAAAAATGAAAACTGTCGCATGTAAAATCCAGATCAGTAGTGGCAATGATGCTTTGCTGGACATTTTGTCGATCTTATTGTCAAATAATCGTTGTATGTTCTACGGAAACAACGATTATGTTGAGTTGCAATTATTCAATAAAGACAAATACTTTCAGGACGTTTACGTATTTTAACTTCAGTTTTATCGTCTATTTAAACTCGTTTGGTGTTTTGTTGCTGTTTTATCAAATTGCTGGTTTATTTTTAGATTGAAAATTAATCAAAAAAAAAACTTAAGCACATTCCAAACCTATAATGCTGATCAAAATTGAAATGCAATATCATCAAAACAACCATATTGATATGTGATATTTGAAAGATATAATCTCTAACTTTCTTAAGCTTTCTATTTTGCGTAGCTAAAACAATATAATTAAATAATGGATAATAGACACATTTTATCAGTATCCATTAGTTTACTATCATAATTCGTGTGAACATAGTGACTCTCACTACCCACGAAGTCAAGCAAATGGTAAAACGCTGCTTTCAAGTATCAATAATGGATATTGAAGAAACCAACGCTTTAAAACGCGTTACCTCGACACACTAAATAAGTGAAAGCGCGAAAACATTTTTCCTTTCGTTGTTAACACATTTTAACAGATTTAATGCATCAATAGTCAAAGAAGATATTTGACGATCGTTGTTTTTCATAACTGGATTCTCTATTATACTGTCACAGTCATAGGAATATAATTTATAGCAGATACACGTTGAAAAAAAGAGATTTTGCGTACAATATTTATAATGAATAATTTCGTCTATCGATCAATGATGTACTATCCGACTCCATTTTTATATTCCCACGTCACCACAGTTTGATGCCTATGCACGATATGGAATCGGAACCAGTCTATATTCTCTCCTTTCCGTAGTTCATTTTCTATAAATTATTCAAATTTTTTGTTTGTAATAGTATAAAATGCTTTATAGTTGGATTTTTTTTCTAGTATCAACGAATCATTAATAAATTAATCAGTTATAATTTGGCCAATCGGTACTAGTAGACCAGTGTTCAAAACGTCATGCAGTGGTTTAAGTGCAAGAATCTCAACCCAATTCAACGTATGTTTCTGCTCTAGATGTAGCATTAGAATAATGTCTCTCTCTCTCTCTCTAAGTCACAAATTAGCTATAAATGAGCTGTATCTTTCAACATCGGTCATCCGGAACTGGTACAATTTATAATAAATGTTTGAAAATAATACCATTTTTACAACTTTAGACAATCTCTGAAAGACTTCTATATCTCGTACGTATCTTTCTCAGTTTGCAACTTCTTTCGCTTGTTTGTATTTCTAATCGTAGAAGTCATTCAATAGTAAAGGGAATAAAAAATGTCTACTGTTGATCGACTTAATACTATAATACTATTTAAGTGAAATACAATGGAATAACACAAAATCATTTTCTTACTGCTCGTAGCGACGTACACCTCAACTTTTCTTCTTAAACGGTCATTAAAAAGAGACTCTACTTGATTTCGAGATTAACGGAAAATTTCATTTCGTTGCCATGTAAAGTATCATGAAAATATATTTCGGATGCTTTGCATGTCGGCAGATCGTATCAATGAAATCTGTTGGTATGTGACATTAAATGGTAGCTCGAAATTAAAGGATACTTTTATTTTGTTGCAGTTGAGTGCTATCGAGTGTTTATTAATGAAAAAGCTTTGAGCTTCTTGTCAAATTCAACTCAGTCACTTCGCTTGATGTTAGTGTTTGGATAGCGTGTGATAGGTAAAACACTAGTTTTTTAGTGTTAATAAAATCATACGCTTTATCTTTATTTATTTTATGCATTGAATTTGTGTTCTTCTATTATTGGATAAAACGAAAGAAAGAAAACAGGCCAGATCCTAAGATCTGTCCAGTCTCGAGTCGGTCCTGTTTTTTCCAGACCATTTTCGGGTAGTTCCACCTCGATCAATGACAAAGATAGGCATTCTCTCGACTAGTTGTTAATCGAGAAATAATCTTAAAAATATTTAAATGAGAACACATAAATTTCGTATGTGCAATATAGCGGTATGGAGATGTCACATCTCTCTTATTGAGAGAACGAGAGACAAAGGATGGGAAGTCAAAATGGGGACGAGGTTAAAATCTCATCATCTCCCACCTCGTCTCCATTTTGACTCTGTCTCTCCCTCATCCTTACTTTGTGCTCCGCCCCTTCATCCTTCACTTTCTCTCTTCCGTCACGATCATCTCCTTGAACTTGTAGGTAACCATTTTGCCACGACTTCAAATTCCTCATCATATACCACTACACCGTTTATCCCACTATACCCATGTAAAATATCTTTTGTGAAAATTTCAATGCGCCTGATTAGTAAGTGTACTTGAAATTAAATCATACAAAGGCCTATGTTTATTACAGTTTATTTGTTATTTCTGTTTTCTTGGTTTCATTTTCGTATTTTGTGTCTTAATTTCCTATGTCTGTGATGAGATATGCATCTTTAATTTCATTTTAAACAAATAAAAAATGACTTTAAAAAGTATCAATTTACCAAAACAACTGACTTTTCTATTTCGAATTTTATTATAATACATATTAATAATTGAAAAGTCTTTAACACCACAAAAACTTTCTATCTTTCTATATTCGTAAGTTTTTGTGATTATAATGACGACAATATTACAACTATTAATTTATTTCAAACACTTTTAGTAATGGAGTATATAAAAAAGTAGACGAATAATTTAAAATTTCAATTAAGAACTATGTGCGATTCCACTGCTATATTATAGTATCACAACGAATTTATTTGTTTGCTTTTGTTTTACAAAAATCACATATATTGTCAAATTAAAACAGTCAACACAAGTTAAGAGCTCAGATTTTTGTGTGTTCCACGTCCCCAATAAAACTAGCATTACAAACCATAGTTATTACTTTTTTAGTCGATGAGCCAAGGGGGAGAGTGCAAGTTTGGAACCCACAGCACCTTCAGCACCTTCTCAGCACCCGCAGCACCCTTTCTATAGTGAGATTTACTTCAGTCGTGTGGAGATGAATCGAGAAAACTACTTTCATTTTCAATAATAGAGGTGAATTTTTTCTTGAATTATTCGCAGAATCTGAATAAGAATTATTTCAGAATAAAAAAGGCCAACAGAAAAAGAAAAACATCCTTCGAAAGTAATCGTATATCATATTGCAAAATGATATACCAAAAAGTTTGATCCTTCTTTTATTAGTGTGAGAACTGACACTAAGCTCTGATTATTTTTCAGAAGTTTATTTTTCATTTTATCACCATTGTATTTATACAGCTTCTGCTTTCTCTCAGGTATCAAAGAAACATTGTACGAAATGCCATACTCCTTGGCTTAAAAAAACCTGCACATCATTTTATTAGCTTGAAAGTGATCATTGAATTCTGATTATTTTCCACAATTTTATTGCGTATTTCATGAAACATCAATTTTTAACACCTGGAGTCCCTCTCAAGGATCGAAAAACTTTTGCTTTTCTGGTTTTAATATAGATAGTTATATTTCCATCAAGCTAAGCTTCCCGATTACAAGTGTTGCCTCAGTTTTGAATTTCATCGAATAATAAGAAACGTATGAATCACTCTCTCGGAGCCTAAAAAAACTGTTACTGTCCTAAAGATCTATGAATATTCAATTTATACTGCTTGAAAACGCGTCTGTTCTATGCAAAATGTTTTTTTTCTATCAGAATATATAAGAACGACTTAGATATTCAATGTTTTTTCTCTCGACAAATCTTAAATACCACCCCCGATCGGGTCATACAGTTACAAATACTGTTTTTTTCAGTTTTATGAAGTTTGGTTTTTCGAGGTGTACCAGTAAGATTTTCTTACCGGATAGGAAATTAAATGAGCTCTTCCTAATGAAAGAGTTTTCAACCTAAAACTCGATGTAATGTAAAGCGTTTTCGCTCCAATACTACTCTTGAAACCGAATTTCTGTCATTGCTTGGCTGATACTTGATAGTTTCAAACAGAATAATTCCTATGCGACTGAATATAAATATTATATTTGTTTTAAGCACAAAATCTGAACAGATCTAATTATTTCTACAACTTTTGTTTTCGGTCAGATTTTTACGTCTGGTCCGCTTCAGGATCATATAAAAACAAAATGCTTTATTCAAAACAACTATTTGATTGATTATTGATTGATCTACTTTATTTCAAACATCATTCACAAAGTTTGAAAACTTTTAACATTGTCCACATGGCTTTTGGAGTAAGTTAATTTTTTCGTTATCCATGGCGGAGACCAGGGGTGAAAATCTGATCGAAAACAGAAGCTGTAGAAATAATTAAATCGAATTAAATTTTGTGCTTAAAAAAATATAATATTTAAATTCAGTCAAGTGGGAATTAATCTGTTTGAAACTATCGAATATCGGTCACAAATGATAAAAATCCGGTTTCAAGAGTAGTATTGGAGCAAAAACGCTTCACATTACAAGACGTTTTAATTTGAAAACAGTTTTATTAGAAAGAGGACATTCAATTACGTATTCGGTAAGAAAATCTTTCTGGTAAACCTCGAAAAGCTTACACTTCATAAAACTGAGAATAGCAATATTTCTCACTGCATGACGCAATCGGAGCGGTATTTAGCATTTATCGATAAAACAATATTTGAATATTTAGGTCATTCTTATATACTCAGATAGGCAAAAACATTTTGTATTGAAGGGAGCTTTTTTCAAACAGTATAAATCGAATATTCATAGACATTTGGTTCAATAGCTGTTTGTAAGTCTTCCAGAAAGTACTTCAGATCTTTCTTAGTATCCAATGAATTTTAAAATCTAAGATGATATTTGTGATCAGAGAACTTAACTTTATCGAATTATAACTACTTGCACTAAAATATGAACAAAACGTTTTTTCAATCCTTGAGACGTACTCCAGATGTTAAAAATTGAGTTTTCATAAAATACACAATAAACTCGTGGACAATAATCAGAATTCAACGATGATTCTCAAGCTAATAAAATTAGGTGCAGATTTCTGTGAAGTCAGGTTCCTAATTTGACACACCTCTTTTTGTGTACTCAAAAAGTGAGTACACTTTAGAATCGACCAGTGCGTCCGTCCGGTCGTAGGCACGATAACTTTCGAAAGGAGAGTCAGATCGTGATGAAAATTTCCACACAGTTCAATCTCATGAATATCTCGGCCGAGTTCGAAGATGAGAATGATCCCTCAAGAAACGGTTGAGCTATCGAAAAAATTGTCATTTTTGACCAGACCATCCCTGAGGAGGGGTGCAGGGATTTGTTTTCAAAAAACAAATCTTTCTCAGAATTATTCAGAACATATATAAATCGACTCAGTTTTTAACGCTGATTCCGAATCTGATATTAGTTTTGAACTAAATCGCAGCTGTCTAACGAAACATCGCCTGAAAAGTGTCTCAAAATGCACAAAAACTGCATCCAGAAATCAAATTGCCTAGTTTCTCATGATAATTTTGGTGTTCAGACATTCTAGAATGACTCATATGTCCCATGCACTTTTTGCAGTACACATAGCTCTCGGATGAAATCCGAAGTTTCCACATTTCGTTTTTGTAAGAGTGAACCAGGTAAACTTTCAAGAAATAGACTGTTGTAAGATTTGAATATGTCACGTGAACATGATTTATTTTCACTTTATGATGCATGAAATCGGTTTCGTCTATGATAACTTTCTTGTCGACATCTATAAAATTTCATCAAATATTTCAGACTAATTATTCATAGTTTATTTCGATAGTACTAACAATCAACATTAAAATAGATTTTCTTTGGCATGAAGTGTATGCATGCATGTATGTATGTATGTACGTTCAAAACTAATTCTGCTTGTATTTACGTAGAGATTCAAGATTTTATCAACATTAAGCAATATACAACATTATTTTGACTACTTTTGAAAATAAATACATTCTTTTATCAGAAAATACGAAAACAAAGATCTTTTTTCTGGTTTATTTCATTTTTTATAATCATTCATAAAATTACAAGTGACATGCAGTTTTTGTTTTTCCTTTTTTTCTCTCAGAATCATCCAGATTTATCTATAAAATTATAGAATTTCAAATTTCAAATTTCAAATTTCAAATTACTTGATTATTTTTTAATTCAAATGAAACAGAAAATTGAATAACTCTATTAATTTAGTTCATGATTTGGTATGTAAATAAGACTGAGATCAGGAGACGGCAATAGAAAACATTTCGTTTGACATGGTAAAGAAGATAGTTCGTTTTTTCTGTCGTCGAATTTCTCTTGTAATAATTTTTTCCGATTATTTTCAGATGTTGGCGATGCACGACCGTCGTCTCCTCCTGTTTTTGTTGTACTAGCTCGAATCAACGATGAACCGTCACCAATGGCTTTTAGTAATGATGTTACTTTTTCATTTATTGGTAATTGTTTCGCTAACAAAAAAAAACAACAGGGAATAGCCATTTTGAAGTATGAAAAAGAAATGCGAAAGAAACCTTGCATTGTTAACCTATTGAATGTAGGCGCTGCTTGTCGAGTAACCATTGATGAAAATCGTGAACCAAGATCTTTAATTTTACTGATTGCTGCCTTATTATTCGATGTTGCAACATTGTTCATTGTAGCAAGTGATGGCATATCTGTTGCAGAAAAACTCATTCGCTTTTGTAACGGTTCCACACTATCTGGCAAACTATTCATTCTATATCAAATTGAAACAAAAACAAAGCAAATGTATTACATAAATTTAATTATTTAGCTAATTGATTAAGATAAAGATCGATCACAAAGAGATGAAATCAATTTTGTACTTACAGAGTTATATTACTACTGCAATTATTTTAATTCTATTTATCAGTTTTCTGTGATTGCTGAAAAAACTTTTTTACCTATTTAATTTTCTTTCTTTGAGTTCAACTGACTTTTGTACAAAAGAATTTACGATAGATACAATCATTTGTCCGATTGTTTTCACATAATCTAGAAAATGGACGAGAAAATTGATGAGAAAAAGAACAGAAAAAGGCTGTTTAATATATACATTACCATTTATTTGATCAATATCTTTTAGAAACATGACTGCTGCATTAAAAACTTGAACATTTGTACCACGAAATTGATGATAATAACCAGTTGTTTGTTCATCTTTTGTATAATAAATACGAAGTGTCCATGAGCTACCTGGCGGTGATAATGGGTTTTCACCTAAAGATTATATTTATGAAAGAAGTGTGAATGACGTTATTTTTTCTCTTTCAATGGAAATGCAACGAACCAACTTCAATACTATTTATGAATGCCAATGGAGTTTCTTTGAATGAAACAACTTTTTGAAATGTTTCATCATAACTAAACAATTAAAAAGAAATTTTATTTAAAAAATTAAAATTAAATCGAATTTTACCAAACAATGAAATATCGAGCAGATGTTAGAACAAGAACACAATCCGGCTCCGATTGTTCGATTAATACTCTTGAAACAGAAAAATAAATCGTAAATAATCTTTCAAAACTGAACAAGAAATTTGTAAAAAGAATAAAGTTGCTTACTCATTCAATTCACTATCGTCAATAAGAGGCCAAGTACCAAAACAATCTTCAGTTTCTTCACAAACAAACATTTTTCGACAATCAAATATCATTTGTTTTAAGATTTCTTCACGATTTGTTGTCTAAAAGACATTTTATAATCTCTTAGAAAGTCTTAATCGAAAACTTACTGATTCCATTGGCATATCAACGAAATCAGGATTAACTGTGGTAATAACTTCTTTATTTGTTTCCATGTTTGATGTTTTTTGTTTTTGCATGGCATCATAGCATTGCTGTCGTAAAGTATCCTTTTTGAAACGACGATAATAACGATTTGCTGAAATTTTCCCATCAGCAAAAACTCCTTTTATATCACGACGCCCAGTACGTGTAAAATCACCCTAGAATACCGTAAATCGTAATTCTTATTCAAAGAATATTCAATTCAATCTTTTTTTCCCGGTTACAACGAACATTTATAGAGAATGAAGCTGGCATTAGCATCAATTTTAAATCTATTGTATGGAAAGTATCTATTATTTTTTTAAAACGAACATTAATATAAATATAAGAATGAAAATATTTGAGAATAAAATTATGATGGAATCGTTTTGTTGTGATGCAAAAAAAGAATAATTAACTTCTAAAATAACTAATACTTTGCTTAAAATTATCAAACAACGATAATAATATGATTCTCAAAACTATTTTCATCTTTCTATTTACGAAATCAAATTCAATTATCAATAAAGAAAATAAAGAAACAATAGACTGAATCTCTATCCCAGTTAACTTTTGTACATTCAGTTAAGGGTTCGGGGGGGGGGGGGGGGGGGGGGGGGGGGGGGGGGGGGGGGGGGGGGGGGGGGGGGGGGGGGGGGGGGGGGGGGGGGGGGGGGGGGGGGGNCTCTACCGGGCCCCCCCCCCCCCCCCCCCCCTCCACTTTCCAGAGTTTCTGGAGAATGACTCATCAGAAAATTTTGAACCTTTCGTAGCAGATAGATCTTATAAAGTATATCAAAAGTTGTGCTTGAGTCAAAGTTTCCATATACTGTCTTGTATGAGATATTGGGGTCGTAATCGATAAAAATGACCTAAATTTTCGCCCTCGTTTATCAGAGACCCTATCTTCAATCAAATTGAAACTATTTTCTACAGATACTGCATACTGTTTGGGGTGAGTAATTTTTTCGGTTTCCTTATATTTTTTGTCTTTTCGATAAAAAGTCAAAATGCCGGATGTATTCTAAAAACTCCTGTTTCTTTACTACTGTAGTTTTTGTGAAAGTTACCAACATTTCCTCCTCAGTGTAATATTTTTTGGCATAAAAAAAACACACACACCTCAAATAGTAACTGGTGTATGCAAAAAAAAGTTTCAGCTCGATCCCTCTTACCATGTCGGAGAAACGGGAGCGAAACACTAGTTTTTCTTCTAAAAGTTTGATTTTGAGACACGCGAAACACAATTAATTGGCAATTTTTTTCTGATACTAATCTTTTTTTCATCCTTTTCAAATATTTGCCGGTTTTCTACTACTCCACGTTCGGTAGACTTGTTTTCTGCGTTCAAAGAGTACTTTTGTTTATGTTTGTGTCATGCAAGCAATCAGAGGTAAACAATATATGGACTGAAATTCATCCTACGTGCATTTTCAATTCTATTTCACATCTATTTTGGAGAGAATGGAAAGTGATTGTCAGATACTGAATGACTGAAGAAGGACATGCAACGGGATTCATTTGGATTTTTAGTTTACCCCTATTAAAGACAATCATTTATCTCGAACTGAAGTCGAAAGATGTCTGACGCATCTCGATACGCTACTACGGCGTGGCAATATACTAAAAAAGAGATATCTAGAAGTAGATGAAACACAAAGACAAGCTTTTCTAGAAAAAAGTTAAAAAATCGAGCTTTTTTTCGATAGGTGAATCTCAAAAATCGTTCTTTCCTTGGCCTAAACGCGTTCAAAAGAAGGATAGTTTTTCAGATCAATAGAAGACACTTCAAAGTATATGTATCGATGAAACACAAAACATCGGAAAAACAAATTTTTCACGCCAGAGTGGGACGGAAGTACGCTTAAATCTTCACAACAAATGGTAAAATCATTTTGTTTTTACCTTTTGTTCTTTTCCTATAATCAAACTTCATTGACAAAATCAATAATAAAAATTGAGAAGGATAAGTAACACAAAATG